CATCATTAGTGGAATTAAAAAAGTCAGCCACAATGAATAGCAGCTGCACTGGTGGAACTCAGCTCATTAAAATGGTTTGCTTTGTCCATTGCCCTTATTGTTCTTACACAAAACAACTGCATTTTGGTTCTTCTAGAGACAATGTAGGTGCATGTTGAAAAGTCCCCAATAAAGAGGATAGATTTTATATATTGCAAGAAGAAAGACAATGTTTTGACTTGAACATTTGTTTTGTCTTGTCTGCTGGAACGAAATTATTCACAGATGGCTTTTATGAAGTTATTTCATTATTTCTGGAAAGTGTGTAAGTCTTTGCTAGTAACTTTGGATTGGATCTTCTCATGTGTAAACACATGCATACAAGTAGGAATATTTCTAGGAATTGTGTTTGACAGATTTCTCAATTTATTAGGCTATGGCTATTTCAGGAGACACAAGTATGTACAGCGTAGAGGAATAGGAAAGCAAGTGCTGTTTTGTGATGATGGTTTTGTTTTTAATTTTATTTTGTTATGCAAAAGTATCTTGGAAACGAGCAACGTATTTATCCATAACTCATTACAATTCCTGCAGGAAAATCCCAGTGTCCAATTTCTAGTTAGATGAACAGTGCCCTCTTGTGGGAACAAGAGTGAGTGCATGTTGAAGACAAAAGGCTATCTGCTTTTATATACCATCTTTTTTCAGGATTCTGTGATTTTATTATCTGAGTAGAGTTGAGGATTCCAAAAGGGGGCAATGTCTTTTAAAGCCTTAAATGGCTTGGATCCAGGAGACTTAAAGGACTGCCTTTTTCTAAATCTGATGTCTGGAGGAAATGCACTGTTCTGTCCCATCTATATGGGAGGCTGCTTTGATGAGGACGAGGTTGTCATAATTTTCATTAATTGAGTTGTCATCTAATAGTGCCCCAGGCTATATGTCAAGGGTCAAAAAAAGTAGACCTGCATACTGTGACCAGATTTTGGGGACCATCAGACTGCATTTATAACCTTCTAGACCCCAAGAAACCACTGTTGGAACAAGAATGCTAGCTGAGCTACCATTTGGGGGTGAGCAAGCAAAAGACAATTTCCCAGAAATGGGTGAGCCAGGTCTTTAATATAGAGGTCACAGCTGTGGTAAGTGCAGATGATTTGGTCCAGGCTGCTTTGTGGAAGTAGGGATTTTACTTGAGATGAGTAATGAATAACTGTGTGTGTGACTGGTGGTCATTGCATTCATTCCACAAAGCTGAACTACCTACACACACTTATAATCTAATAACGATAAAAATCAATAAATATTTTTTACCACTTCCAGCAACCCCAACCATCTTTTCTGCCACTTTACCCCATTCCATAGTGTATTGTGCCCTTTTCTTTATAAGGATCTCCAAGACAGGGAGCTCATGGCTATGATGAGCCAGGCTCCAGGATGTGCTACTGCATTCATTGTGCACTATATTTCTATCCCTTTCTTCCTCTTGCAAGGAACCCAAGGCAACTTAAACAATCCTCTTCCTTACTCCATTTCCTCCTCATATCAGTCCTGTGAGTGGCCCAAAGTGGCCCAAGGAGCCTCATGGTTGAGTGCCAACTAGAACCTCAACCTCCCAAGTTTCAGTCCAGCACTCTAAGTACTCAGTATTAAACTCAGCCGTGCTGTGTTAAATACTGTATTGCGTTATATACACGGGCCTGCCCATGAATACTTCAATTACAGAAGCTTCAATTACAGCATTATGTGGAAGGTAGGAACATTTGAACTGATAGAGCCTTTCTACATTAGTGCTGAAATAAATACAAAGACCGCATATTCACTTCTGAGCTCAGTTCACAATGTTGGTGTCTTATCATGGGATATGAATTAAGGACAACCTCTTCCCACATCCATATTTCTGTGGGTTAAGAGAATAGATGAGTGTCTTCAATAGCAAGTGCTTTATAAAGGTATGGTTTTCTGTAGTTGTATCGTAACTATGAAATTCTTTCCTGGCTGACCCCCCCCCCACTTTTTTTTTGTCGGGGTGGGGGAGGAGAAACCAGGTAAAGGTGTTTTGTTGCCCAGAGATTTGAATTGCTTTTCTTTAAATGATGGTATGATTTTGGCTAGTTGATGAGCTGTTTTACCAAGTGAAGGCCTTTAGGATTTCATGCAAGTGATGTATTATCTTTAACCTCTGAATGCAGATAAAATGTACCTGTTGTTCTTGCAACATCCTACGTCAGTGTAACGAGAAACTGCTCTTTATCTTGCAACTTCAGTTAAGCTTTAATTATAACAATGAACTTTTAAAAGATTATGAACTTGAAGGAATTTATTTTCTTCTGAACAATAGGACATTATAGAGAAGTTTTCATACACAGAAAATTCATTTTGTTGCCTCTTTTTGCTAAATAAAACAGCACAATAATCTTTACACATTCATAAGTTGTTGTTTTCTCATTTTATCTGTCTACTATACACAGCTTTCTCAGGTTGAATCAAACTGCAAGGACATATTGATACTGGTATATTACAGCTACTTACATTATTTATGAACAGCAAATGGAGAAAAATAAGTTATTTAAATATTGATTCATATACAGAAAGTGCAACATTTGTTAGTTGTTACATAACTTGCTTAAAGTTTTTGTTTTCCAAAAAAAGAGGTTTCAGTTATGGGTAAACATTAGCTTGTATTCAAAGTATTTAGCTTAAAAAATACAAAAGTACAGCTGTGACTTGGTGAGTTGACCTTTATTGCTGTATCTTGGACTGAGTTAATACAATGAACAAGGATCTGTGCTCTGATGACTTATTTCCAGTATTGCCACTTGCACTCAGAACCAGTTTTACAATTAGGACCATCAAGGACACCTTGCTCCTTGGTTAACTGTCAAATAAAACTGTACTCCATTGGTGCTGAATTGTTCCCTCTCTAGACAAAGCCAGAACTGAATAACCACAAGAAGCTATATATGTTGATAATCTTCAATCCAAGTTTTGTTTGGAATACTGCATGTAAAGAGCAAAAGCTAAATAGTACATTATTGTTAATGCTGAGATTATTACATCATTGGAAATTCCTCTGCAGAATGTGGTATCCCACATTTTAAGGCCTTATCAGGATCAATATATAAGCTGGTGAAATGATGAACCAGTTAATCAATGGTTCCCTAAAGCAATATACACACACACACATATATGCACATAAAAATGTAACTTAAAAATGGAAGAAATTATAAAAAGCATTTAAAAGCTATGTCCATTAAAAATTAAAAAAATGCAATTGGAATCTTGCATGAACAGGCACAGGAGTTAACCTCTTTGGCCTCAAGTTTAAGAAATCCTTTTGTTTCCCTTCCTAATGTATCTTAGAGATAGTCATGTAGACAATACTATTCTCGAAAGGAACGAGTCCAAAATATTTCCTTTGTTCAATGTTTTAGATTTAAACAATTAAGGCAACTTCTATATGCTAATTTATTACTATTAAAAAACAACCAACTGATCATTGTTGACTTCTAGCATGCAGGATCTGATGGTACAGTTTTATTATTTTTTTTTCATGACCCTGCATTTAGGAGGCTAAATATTTTAAGTTAATCATTACAAAACCAAACATAAATTATCAATAGATGAAAATGCTGGAGCTCATCCCTGATTTGCAGCATGGCCAAATAGCTTGCTTGATACATGGTTTCTGCATGTGTACAGGTTCCTTAATTTCAGCAGAAGTAACTGCTTTGTACAGACAAAGCAATATTATTCTCCATTTAGGTTGCCATTTTATGTATTTTCCTGGGAATAAGCCCCACTTACTTCTGAGTAGACATGTATGGAATTGTAATGCTAATTACTGGAAATCTGTGGGCATATGAGTACACTGAGCAGACTGATTGAGGTGTGGGTAGGGGTGCATGTTTTGTGAGGTTCCTAAAAGTCTTTGATAGCAGGGTTAATGTAAAGACACAGGGTTAATGTAAAGCACACCTTTGTCCATAAAGACCTCGTGGGGACGGTTCACTGTATGTTACAATCTCTTAAAGAATATGGGGGATAGAAGGAATGTTTCTCTTACTTAGTCTACATGGGCAACTTAAGACTCTAATTATTTTGGCCAATTGATTCCTATCAGTGCTAACCAACATAGTCAATGGTGTGAGATCATGGAAACTATAGCCCAAAATTTCTAGTGTTTCCAAGGGTCAAACCCTTCAAAACAGACTTACAGTATACATAGGGATCTGCAGCAGGAATTGGTTGAGATGTTCATTCAGTTGTGAAATTTCATTCCTTAGGTGGCTTTAATGAGATCCAGTTCTTTTGTCATTAAGACCAAATGAAAAAAATTACTCAGAAAATAAAACACTGGTGCTTAATTATTGCCGTTTATCTTGGAAGCTTACTTGGTTTATTTTAATGGAATGCACTTCCAATTTGAAAATGTATTTATGATCAAAGACTTAGCTGCTTTTGAAGGAATGTTTGTTGGTTTTCCAGAGTTTACTTGCCTTAAAAATGAGCTACCCCCCAAAATACCATTTTCTCACATTCTCCACAGCCATCTTAAGAGCTTAATACCTCTCTATGTCCCTCCAAAGGAAAGAAAATCCAGAGCAGCTCTGAATACAGTTTAGACTTTTGTTTTTAATTTTGGAAAGGTGACAAAAAAGTATGAAACTTAGAGAGATCAAATTGAAAGCAGTGTTGGGGAGGGCAGTATCATTTCTTTAGGCCTTTGCAGCAAAATGTTCTTTTAAGCTGAATGTACTTTCAGAGGTTGTATAAATGATTTCAGAGGCAGGGCTAGGGAGGCACAGAGAGGTGACAAGACTGGCTTAAAATTATATACCTGGGTTGTGCCAGGTCTTGGAGTCTCATACTGAGCTCATTACATCTTTACTTCCCTCTACTAGCATGTTAATGGCTGCTACTGAATAATCTAGATATTAGGATTCCAGCTGAGCTTATTTGGTATAGAAAATGTCTGGTCATGTACAAAAATAACCTTTGTATCACAGAAGCAAGGAAGAGATTTTACATTGTATATTTTAATAGTTTCGGAAAACAATGTTACTATGCAGTAATAACAGGAGTAACAAACTGTTCCATTAACCCAGGTGACCTGTAGTTTAAGTCATTTCATCACCCAATAACAGAGGTGTTATATTGATTTTTGTAAGAATGATAGCTTGATATTTTTCCCATTAATGTGGAAATACAATTCTTGTTCTGATACTGTGTATGAAACACAGTTAGTTCAATCAGTTCATGTACTTCCACTGGGTAACTTTACCTTTAAAACTAAAGAAAACATTTCCCATTGATATGGTCAGGATACCAAGTCAAAGCTGCAGCAAAGCAATTGACAATATAACCGTATACCAAATTACAGATTAACATGGGAAGTATATGTGTGCGTGCTTATAATATATATAGACATACACACATACACAAGGCAAGCTATTTTTTTAGCCTTTTAGTAATACCAGCAAGTACGAATTGCCACAAACAAGTTATAGCCTGAGAACTGAAATATGATTTAAAAAAGAAAAAAGAAACTTTACAAAACAGACATTACAATGAGATAATATATCGAAACTGCTTTCTAAAAGGTCTGGGAAACTTGGACATGACTAAGTGAACTGCCCAAAGCATTTTAAGAAAAAAAAGAATTAACAAAAGCTGATTGCTAGATAAGCAGTTATACAATTTAATTCTATACAAAGAAGGAATTTTCTGAATCTGATAAATTGCAAGGAGGATCAGCTATACACTGAGGGGAACCTGTGGCCTTACAGCTGTTCTTGGATTTCAGCTTCCACCTTCTTCAGCCATTGGCCATGCTGTCTGGGGCTGATTAGAGTTGGGAATCTCACAACATCCAGAGAGACACAGGTTCCCTGAGCTAGGGGTATTGCAGCCAGAAAAAATACACCAAAAGCTACTAATAGGAAGATGGAGGAGTTGTCATTATTAATACATAAAGTTGCTAGACTGAAAAGGATGAGCATATAATACCCAATAGGAGACCCAATCCATAATGCAATTATTTCTGCTAAGATCTTTTTTCTTCATGGGATGTGCACAACTAAATGTATGGTCAGAATAGTATGTTCTTGATGGTCCAATGGGCTCTACTTTAACCAGCAAATGGACCCAAAGCACCTGATGATCTAACTTTGCGATCTTCTACTTCCTCCCAGCTCCTGGGCTTGGAGTGGATGTATTTTTTAAAGGCTGCCTTCTAGCAAGTAGAAAGATCCCTTTTTGTCTTAGATACAGGCAATACCACTGGGCCTCAATCTAGCCTATTTTAAAAATTTTAAGGAACCATTCCTTGTGTCCTTTCTTGGAGAAGGTATCTGTGAGCACCATTTCTCCCCTCATGACAGTTGTGTCTATTCTACTGTATGAATCATGGACAAAACCCACATATCTCTTATCCTTCCCAACAACCTGCTTTATTTGATCCAATTTTTGTTCTGCAGAAATTAAAGATGAAATGGACACCAAAGGAAACAGAAGGTTCTCCAACAGGCCACTGTTACATTCCAGAGCATGCTAAACTGTCTCTGGGTCAAGGATTTTGAGAATTCTTGCTGCTGCCAAAAGCTTGCTTATGTGCCTCTCCTCTGTGATACCAGCCTCTTGAAGTGAAGTCTGTGATAGAGAAGGCACTTTGCTTAGATCATTGACTCCTGCAGCCATGAGTAAGCTTGAGTACATAGGAAGGCCAATAGAAACCAGCCAGTCAGTAATGGAAGCAATGTGTCCAGGGGACACAGGTTTGCGGCAGATTTCAGTAAGACCTCCACTTGGAATCTGGAGCAAGAGAAAACAAGATACAAGCATTTGGCTCTCTTGAGAAAATACTGTCGTCCACAAATATGTTGGCAGAATGGGTACATGCTAATCCAGATCTAATGGATGGAACACTGCCCCATTTGTTCTAATGGGTGGTGTCCTCTCTGTTGTACTAATGTGCTACAACTTGAGTGTTTAAAACAAACATTCCAAACCATATTAGCTTAAGGCAGCAGTGCTATACATACTTACCTGGAAGTAAGACCCCTTAAATTTAATTGTGCTGTCTATAAGATATTTTGAAGTAGATATAAAGACAGTTTTCAAACACTCTTTTTATTCCAAGTCTTGTTGGTTGCATATAAATGGTGCTACATTAAAAGTAGGTCCGAATCAAATATTTTCAATTTTCGTTTTGCATCTCAAAATAAAGGTCTTCAGTTGCAGCACTGCCTAGGTGAACAACGTGAAATCATTCAGCCTTATACTATCTTCCCCTAATGCCTTCTGCGCAAACAAAATCTTGCAAATCTACGCAAGGCCACTTCTGAAGCACTTACAGTAGTGGTTTCTGTCATGCACACTGTTCAATGAGTAACCGGAATGCTTCCTTGGCTTTTTACATTCTGTGGGCATCCTTGCTGCTGCTACTGATGTCATCAGTTTAAACAGAAAAGTGGCATCAACCACAGTATCTCAGCAACAGTAAAAACAGCAGAAAGGCTCTGCTCATATGAAAAACTAACATAGTAATGAGATGAAACTTTGCTTCACTAGCTTTTTATATGCAGAGAATTATTGTTAATTTTACTTGAGAAATTAGTCCCTTGACCTTAAAATAGAGCATATAATCCAGACTTACTGCCATACGGTGCTGCTTCCTTAGCAGTTTCACCCGGATTTGGTCCAGGTTTGTAGCAACATCCTTTTCCGGTTGCTCTAGGTCTTCAGAGTATCTTTGTACCAAAGGTTCAGGAATCCCACAGCGGCCATGCTGCAGATTCCAGTCATCCAAAGATGAGAATAGAATTTAAAAAAATAAACAAAATCTAGTTAACCATAGTGTCTCTTCAAGTACTAAGGACAGATGGCTGGTTGCTGTGCTTTAAGGAAACATTATCATTTCCAGTTCCACAGAAATATACATTTTTCATCTGCTTCTTTTTTCAATAATTTGTACTAAGATAAATTTTGGATTCTAAACCTATTTCATGGAAAGCTTACAGAACATTATTGCAAAGGTATTACTTCATACTGTAATTTGTGTGCTGTTGTGACACACATGGAAGCTTTTGAAATGAAATTTTAGAGGACCGTGTCTGGGGTTTCTCTTGAAAGAAGAGGTGCTATCCATCCATCTTGTGCTTTAAAGACCTGCTGATTTTAACAAGGCGGAATTAAACATGCATTTAACTCACCCAGTGAAAGTGAGAAGCAAAGTTTGCTTGATTGTGCCCATTCCAACTAATGGGCAGATAGGCATCTCATGTCTTGTTGCCTCTGAACAAAGGCCAATTTTTACATGTTTACATGCAGCATTAATTTAACCAGTGTATTATTTAGTAACCCATTAGGTTCTGGAGCTGACAGCAACCACCATGTGCAACTATTTCAAATAAGTTTCATGTGTCAGTGTTTATCATGAAGTGAATGGTTTGTGTAAAGTTCTTCACCATGTGAATTCAGCAAGTGGCCCCACCACTGCAGACTTTGGAAAGGAAAGGGTTGGAACAGAATAATGAAAAATGGCATAAAACAGCTTGCCACACAGATCTGGCAAATACATTGAACAATTTATGGCAGTCGACTCAGCAGTGGTGACTGAAAATCATGAACATGTCAGTATTATCTCCTTTTTCTGTGAGTGTATCATACCTTTTAGGAACAGCTCCACAGAACATGCAAAAGGGGAAGGGGGGAACTGGAAATATTAATTCCGTTAACAATAGAAAATGTTCAGCCTTCCTGCACCATACCTTGTCAGAATATGGGTCTTCTGTGAGATCGATATCTTCAGATTGCAGCTTGTTTTCTATCAATGTCTCCAAATCCAGCCCTCTTACACTGGAGATCTTTCTCACAGATGAAGGATCTAGTTTTAACACATGTTGCTGAACACTAGCAGTCTCTGGAAGGTCTGACAACCAAGGAGGCCTTATGCTGGAAGGGCTCCTGGGTTCCTGTTCAGGAGATGATCTACACACAGTTATTCCACTGGAATCAGAGCATCCAGACTGGATGGCCTTTTTTGGTGGCAAAGATGGCACATCTGGACATGAGGGCAGGTGGCAGTGTCCATTGGATAGGCGTTCCCTGCTTTTTTTGGCAGGGACTGGAGGTGGCTGTGAAGAGGTTTTTGGCTGTATTTTTGCCTCAGTTATATGCTTCTGATCAGAATCCATGCCACCCTTGGCATCTGGACAATGATCAGCCCTTCCAAGATCCTGACTAGGTTTTTTATAGCCTTCAAAAGGTGTCCAGATTACACCATGCGCAAGTGAGGATGACTGAATGTCAGAGTTTTGAAACACAGGAAGTGTTCTACTGGAAGGGACAGTTACAGAGAATTGCAATTCTTTTGCTTTTCCTTTAAGAGAATCAACACCATCTTTGCTTTGCTTAGCCATCAGCAGTTCTGTCATGCCACCTCCAGATCCTGTTAGCTTTTTTGTTAAATCCAGTGTACCCTGAGGTAAAGCATCCACCAACTTTACACAATCCATGCTAGATTCTCCATGAAGATCTCCAAGAGAATGAGATCTTGGCCACATATGTACATGTTGTGTGCCTTCAAGAAGCTCACAGCTCCGACAGATACCAACTGGTAAACTTCTTCGGTTCTTCTTCAAGCCTACAACTGCTGGGGACTTGATGCAGCTTTTTGGAACTTGATGCAGGCAACTGAAAGCTACCTTCTCTCCTTGCTGTGAGGCATTTATTGATTTAGTGAAGGACAAACTGGGATAATCTGCCAATGGATTTCTGTGCAAATCCTTAAAACTGTATTCACCGGCTAATTTTGAGGTCAGGAGACAATGCTTTCGAGTCTTAGCTGAAACAAAAGAAAATAAATATTAGTTTTTCTGCAAGGAACAAATGAAATATATTTAAATGTCTGTAAATGTAATACTATTTCTCTTACATGCACCCACACACACAATTTTCTGTGGTATTTCAGTGCAGTATATTATATTGAATACAAGCACGTGTAGGATTTCAGTGTAAATAGGTTTAATATTCTCATGTGTTAAAATAAAATCTTAAAACTGCCTTTTTATTTCCAGCCATAAATGGGTTTTTGAGGAATGGCAAACCTTGCTTGCTCAATATCCTGCAGGTGTTTGCTGTCAGAGTAACTATGGTCACTGACTCAGAGAGACTGCAAAGTGCTTTATTTTTCAGTTTGCTTTCTTGATAGCTGTCAAATTAAACTATCAAAAGAAACCAAAGCCATGAATGATCCTTGCTTGCAAAAGGGGCTAAGCAGTAAATCACCTCCTTCATGATGAGATCCTCTAAGGGGTGTTGTTCTTGTTGCTGTTGAGCTGACAGGTTCCTTATGCTTTTTCACCCTTCCTCAAGATTCTAATGTGGGAAATATTAGCTACCCTGTGATGGGAACTCATACCTGTGACAGGTAGCTGTCAAAAATCTGGTTTCTTTTAAAAAGAGTTTCTTGACAGCACTCTTAAGGGTGGTGGTGGTGGTTTTCAAAGCTATATGCTTGCATGAATGCCACTTCGACAGTGGACAACCCCTGTGCTTTCTTAAAGAGTGATAAACCAGTGATAGCTCGTTCAAAAGGCATTTTAATGGAGCTGCCACTAGTTGTCAATCTGGAGATTAGAAAAAATGAATCTCTGAATGAGAGAGAGAGAGAGAGAGCGCGGACTGCAAAGCGTTTGAGTCATATGGTGGTAGGAGGACAGGCAGATTGGATGTGCTGCAAAGATGTATGGAATACTTGTAGGAAGAGTGAGGGGGAGTGGGAGGAACAAATAATCTTTAGTTACACTGTGGGTTGTTTCACTGAGCCACCCTGTATAGCTTATTTGCAGGGCTGGTTGTCATGTTATAAGTCCATGCAATAACTAAAGAGCAGCTGGACCCTCAAATCCTCAATTTTTTTCAGTTAGTTAAAGTGTTGAATTTCCCATTCTACCTTCTGCTTTGTTTGGAGGAGACTACAGTTCAAATATATTTATCCTTTACCCTACATCCAGAAAAAATGCAACGTACTTAAGTTAACTTAACATGGTAGGGTATTTTCTCGACCCCAGCATACATTCCAATTTAGAGGTATAAAATGTCACATAATGCCACTTCTGCATTTGTCTTTTTTATCATGATAAAGCGTTTTTAAAACATCGAGATCCAGAAGATGCAAGGCAGTATGTTTTGAAGACAGATTTCATTTTTTGCCTATACAGTAACCAACAGTATTTTAAAATCTTCAAACATCACATATTATTTTCAGAAACAATCCAAGCAAAGTTTTTGAACCAAAGAGACAGAACACCAACACAAATTGGTATACACTGGGAATGAGAACATATTATTTGAATATTGAAATTTGTGTTCATTTTTCAATCATCCATTTTTCTATCCTTCTATAACAATGAATTTCAGATTTGAAAAGATTTCACATCCTCAATTTTTGGGCAAGGTCTGCTCTTCTTCATGACATTCAAAACTGAAATGGCCTGTATTAACCTCAAAAGGGCATTGGGCATTTTGTGCCCTGATATGTTACTCATTTCTGGGCTAACAGAAGCACCCCAGTGACAAACATCAGTAGACTCCTGCAACATTTTATGTCCCACGCATGTTTGGTTAATGAAAAGAATAGTGTAAAAAGTCATTTGGGTGAAAGGGACACTGTTTACTACCATGCAGGTGACAATAAAAGTACTGGACTGTGGGCTTAATTACATATAAATCATACAACAGAATGTGAGCATGTGGGAAGAAGTTCTATTGAGATGCATGATGAGGCCTTTCTTGTTATTACTGGCTATTGTTTTGGAGTTTAGCTTGTGTCCCACAAGCTCACACAAGTAATTTAAATATGTAAATGTGGAAAGCTGACTTGTGAGATATGCAAAATATGAACTGGCTAATATATATATTATCCCATTCAGTGGGTGTAGTCAGTTGAATTAAATAAAATTGTCTATATTTTTTGAAGTATGGTCTGTGCAATTGGAGTGTCCATTTTCATAGGGAGGAAAGCTCCTGGTGGTAAGTCAGGCAACCAAGTGTGAGACTTTTAAAACAAGCAATATCTGTTCCTTTCAGCAGATCTACAATTTAGAGCTTTATCTTCAAGGTGCTAAACTTTGGTATTGAACAAGGAACAGTTGGTTGCTTTCTATCTAAATCCATTTTCAGACGTTCCAAAACACAGGCGCATAGACAGACAGACAGACTTTTTCACTCTAAAATGGAAAACTAACTTCATTACTTTTCCTCATGTATAGAATCATCAGAAAACTTTAGAATTGCAAATGAGGAAATAGGGAAGTGCATGAATGTTTTCTCTGATTGTACACACTGACAGGTTCTTGAGCTTATGTAGCCTGGCTTGTAAGAAGCAGGATTAATATATAAACAGGAATAGAAGCAGCATTCCAGAGACTTTAATCTGAAATTGAAATAGTCAAGCAAGCATGTAATTATTCATAATTTTTCTCCCTGGATGATGCTGAAGTCCAAAATTGTTTTCTACTTAGGCATCAAATGTCTTGCTCACTGGAAAAGGCCATACACATTTTGATGCTAACATTTGTTAAGAAGCAAACGAAAGAGATTTTGACACTTTCATGAGAGGAAATCCACAGAACTCATTGTGAGATGAAAATGTTTGCAAGCCCAAGAGCCACACAGAAGCCAGCATACCACTGGTACCCATCCAGAACTGGGCTCACCAGCTCTGTGGTCACACAAGATTCTAGTGTGAACAAACTGTGTCATGAGGAAATCCTCATGTTGAGATTGGCAATGAGGTTATGGCATAGGACACGTCATAGTTAGGAGGAAATTCCCCTTGAAACATGAAACAGCTGCTGCTGCTGCGGACCATGGGACACAGAAAGGGGGAACTTTAGTCATCTCTCCCATACCATGGTCCTGCTGAAAACCATTGCCCCATCCCACTCACAGTTGCTGTTTGCCCCAGGAGAACCTATTGGGCCCAATGGAACCTTCTTGGGACAAATGGCAGATTGGATGGGGAAATTAAAAACAGGTAAACCCACTTCTCTATACTGCATGGAGTCCTGCAGCTGTTATTTAAAAGTTGAAAAGCTAGATATATTGTCATCTTACAATCAACATGATGTCTAATTTGACTGAAAGAGAAGAAGGTGGGAGGAAAAACCTGCATGGTTTCACCAAAATAAAAATTACTGAAAGGCTACAATCATTTTAAAGTTTAAGTGGGAAACTGTTCAGTATACTACTGGTTTGAGAAGCTCTCAGATAATATCCATTTATTTTAGGGAACCAACTACTTTATGTGTTGAAGGCTGTGTGAAGACAGGAGTATTTAATTCACTCATTCTGGTTCTAAAACAAACTGATGAGTGGACACAATGCAGCAGGTGGTTCTTACTCTCCTAGTTGCCAGTGCCTGAATCAAGTTGACGTGCTGCAGCTCATGCAAAAGACTCTGGGAACAGCTCAACAACGCAGCCCTTTGAGCAAAAGGGCATGCTACGTGCATCTCAAGTAAAAACAACTTCCCAAAGAACAGTCTTTTTATGGCTCAGAATAACTACTCTTAGATCCATATAAGCAACCACATTAGATCTCCACTCTCAGTACTCAGGCAGGCAGCAGTATTGGATCAACTCTATTGGTCCTGGACAGCAAATGCTCTCGAGAATCATTTGCATGATGGAAAATACTGTTGTACCTAAAGAAAGCATGTGCCCTTGAGGTGGAGCCCTTCCCAATCAACTGATTTACATGACATAGCGGGCTCCTTTGTTTAATCCATGCTCCAGCATGGCACATACACTGAGTAAGTAATCCCTTCTCAGGGGTTGCTGTGTCATGTAAACCCATCCACTGGCAGTTATTTGAGAGTTAAACAATCCTCCAATAACCCTTTGTTTGTTCTGGAGTTATACAAGGTCTGCCTGATTCTCAAATAACCCTCAGTGAAAGAGTTCTCTGCTTGGGATTGCATATTCAAAATATTGCTCATTATGATTTAAATAACCCACAGTAAGCAAGCCATGTTAAGTGAACTAGCTCAGTGGAAAGAGAAGGAAGTAAATAATGTATACACTTCACCTTGAAATGCTGAACTAAGCAAGGGATCCATAAGATCAAGAAAACTAGGTCTGGAACAACAGCTTTGTTAAATTATAATAGTGAAAATATTGCCAAAATCACTATAAGGAGAATTTGTAAGATTGCTTCTTTTAGCATCAGAATGTCCTTTGTATCCACGGTCTAATAAATCTGGCACAATTTTGGATATGAATATAGATCAAGCATTACCATTCTCTAGGTTTTCACTGCTTTCATAGCAGCCTGAATCTCGGGGAGAGCACCCACCTAAGCCCTGGCCATCTTCAAGGAGTTTCTCCTGAGAGCCTGACTGGTCACTGTTACCTGGAGAGGGGAGAGAAAGTGCAAAAGTGAGAAGGCAGCATTTATATAAACAGCAGAGCTAACAATCTTTTCTTAACAGAATACTAAGAAACAAGCTAAAAGATTTATTGTTTAATAAGTTTCACAGAATTGCTGTCAGCATGTGCATCACATACCTTCAGAATTCTTGAAAAATTATAATCCAAGGCTCACATCATTCCCTGGACTTTGTACCCTGACACAGAACATCTAGAAAACAGAAGAAGGAACACCTTCCTCTTTTATCTCCATACATTGCTGCCTTCCAGAAAGAAGGTAAAAAAATTGTAGGGCTTCTTTTTGCCTGATCTTTACAAGTACAATTCTGAAATGTAGCAAAATTCCCAATCTCCCCTTTCCCCTGCTTACTTCCAGGCAGGCAGCGGTACTGGAAGCCAAGCTTGAAAAACTTCAGTGGCAACTCTTACAAGTACCCTGACCCTGTGTATATTTACATAGAATACGTCTATACAAAAGGCATGTATTTCCTAGTAAACCATCTGTAGACAGTCATTGTGCATTGTCAAATATTTCCCCAGACCCTAATTATTTTATTTTATTTAGGTTCTCCTTTTCTGATGTCCTGCAGTGCTGTCAGCCCCTCACCTGGTATGGTGGTAGATAACTTGTGCTCTCCAGCTGTTTGGGCTTACAATTCACATGATTCCTCACTACTAAATATGCTGCCTAGGGCTGATGTAGACCAAACCATGTGGAGGACCACAAGTTGCCCACCCCTGCTCAGTGTGTTACCAGCTGCTCGAAGCGTAGCAGAAATACAAAATATGTCTAAGCAATTCCTCAGACTGTGGAATTAACATCCAGATTTCACATGGAATGTGAGTCATATTTTGAACATAAGCTATATAAGATACAGATAGCAAATGTTAAAAAAGAAATTACTAATAAGAAATTAACTTGTCTAGTGGAAACACCACCAGTTTTTTCTGACAAATGTTGCAATTACTATCTAATGTTGCCATTACTGATCTAATTAGGATTTGAAGAAAGCAGAACTATGACAGTTCTAGAATTGACAGATCTTTAGCTGTGTACTGGAAAAGAAATTCAAGGCCTCACTGTCGTATTCCTGAAGCAGTTCCACTGCTGTCAAGAGAACAGCTCTATGTTCTGGATCCCGAATGTTGAGTTCATCTAAGTCTTCTTCCTCTAAGAGCTTGAAGGTATCTAAGTCTTCGTAGCCATTGAACAGAAACGTGGGCATATGCTCCTGTAGCAATAAAAACAAGCAATTTATGAAAACAAGGGAGCAGTGCAGAACAACTCAAATCAAGGCATCAGCACCAATGTAATGTGTTTCTAAGACCCTTCTTAATCAGGAACTATCTTAAAACAGAAGGGTGTCAGAGGACTAACGGGGTCTGAATATTAAGCAGTTGGTGTATGGTTAACTGCATGTGTGCAGCTGGACTTGTATGGGAAACTTGGGTAGAGACCATGGCAAATAAAGAGCAGCACTTTCCTTCTGGGGTGCTGTCCTTAGAAGAAGCACTCTGGAATCCAAAGACTGTTTCATGAGGTTGGGTGGGTCTCTTTATCAGCAGACCCCGGAATGCTCTTTTGAGGAGCATCTATGTTCTCAATGGATGCTTCCCCTTTAGAGTAATAGTAGCAGTAAGATTTCAAGACCCTCTGGACTTTCCAACTGTGACTCTTCTGTAGAGCTCTGGAATTTAGTTCGGATCAAAACTTGACTTTCCTGAGAGCCACTCAATCATGACAAAAGTCAGATTTCTGGTCAAGCCAACCTGTCTTGAGAACGAGTCCTGAATGGAAATACTTTTCAGTTGTTGCTGTTGTTGTTGTTTTTAAGATAGGCTAAATTTTAATCTGCTGTTTTTTAAAGATTGAAGATGAGTGTTTTTAATATAAATGCAAAACAGGTACAGTGTGCATCCCATGAAAGGATAAATATATAATATATAAAGACATATGAATATCTTTTCCTGTATAGAACAATTAAAGCTAATTGGTCTCACAAACTGGAAGTGGTAGGGAGGGATGGAACAAAAGGAATTATTTTTATTCATAAATCAGCAATTTAGTAAATGTTTACAAAATTATGGGTTCAGGGAACATCCACAGAGACTTAGCTGTTAGCACTGCTCTCCACTTTAACCTTGAATAACTTTTCTGCTGCTGAATTTAGAATCAAATAATGAAGCAACTTGCTAAAAAAAGGTCACTTCTGTTTAACCACTCGAGTAGGAGGAAGGATAAACAGCATGCATGTGATCTTGAACATCAAGCGGCACATGTTGCAGGGTGCAGACTAAGTTAGTTGAAATTAGGGCCCAAGAAAATCAATAGTACAAGTTTGTCATGACTTAATTACGTTATTCATGAACCAAGGTTCAGTTAATTTAGTCTGGATTCTGTCTGGATTATAATATATGCTGCTATTAGCAAACATCACTTTGTGCAACTGTCAAACAAATTAAGTGGTATAAAATGAATAACTGATGAGAAAAATAATTAGTCATTAGTTTCCACTCCCAAAACCAATGACTAATTGCAATTGACTTGAAACAAACACAGGAAAAGTAGAATACATGAACTAGTAACCATAAATGGGTTATCAGATGCTAGTTCAAACGGTGTTTATTGTTAATGCACATGGACTAAGAACCATCATACATATACATGGAGTCATTAATGGAACAAATCTCTGTAAATTCAAGTCAATCTTTCTGCCAGACTAACTCTAATAAAAAGATATTTAAACAATAATGTCTTACAATATTTTCATGAAAACCTGAGTTCCAGATTTTGGCAAATGTCCAGACTTAATAAGCTCTATGATACCACTATGATAAAACAAGTGATTATAGACAGATTTTTCACCAAAACTGACCCTGCAGCTAAGAGACAAAGAAGAGAAGAAACCCCTGAAAGAGATCTCCCCAATGTCCTTATGGAGGGGGACTCTCCCTCAAAACAATAACCTCGCTCCCACCTAGATTAGTGTTTTCCACTGTACTGTACAGTACTTTGTTACTTTGTTGTTCTTTGTCACTTTGTTTCAAATTTTTCTGAATTAAAAAAAATAGTTACAGAATGGATTAACCTTATTTCCGTTGAACCTTACGGGGAAATTTGACTTGGCTCATGACCAAAAATTGGCTCACAACCACATTCGGAGGGGCCAGAACGAATTAACTCTATTTACATTGAACCTTATGGGGAAATTTGACTTGGGGCACAACCAATTTGGGTCACAACCAGAGTTGTGGAACGGATTAAGTTCGTGAGCCAAGGTACCACTGTATATAGCATGATGCTATTTGTAGCAGAAGAGTAAAACAATTAGAAGAAAATGGAAGCCAACCTTTAAGTTGATGCGATCAAGAAGTTCTTCAACAGATTTAGGTTGAGGTGGTCTCCCTTTCCGTCGCCTCCTTGTGGGCCTTTTTGGCTTTTCTTCCTCTTCGTTTAAAACATCGACATAGATGAACTTGAAAGTACCCACTTTGTTGTTTAAGAGACCCATCCAGGTACCCATGGGAGGCTTGCTAATTATATCAATGATATCACCTTTCTGTTGATGAACAAGCAAGATTATATTTACCTGTAAACCCCAGAGGTATTTGCAAATTACTCTTACCAATATAAATACAAATCTTAGTGTATACAGACTTTGTGATGGAAACCTTATATAGAAGAGAGCATGAACTCTTTTTCAGTCACAAGTTTTATATCACAAAGTTATTTTCTTCAATGTGAGACAATCCAGTAATCTTTTAAACTAAGTGTGCATAGAACAGATAGAACATCTCTCCCAGGTTTTTAAACAGGGATACCTCTACATAAGGTTTTTGGTATTATATGAATGTTGATGAAGAATTTCTTTTAATTGCCTGATTCTAGAAATGAAACTCTGAAAAATGTTTGTTGATTTGTCAAATCCATAAGTATAGCAGAAATGAATTTGCAACATGAATTTCCAGTTTTGTGAGAATTCAATTATTTTCACCTCACCACTGATCTCTCAGCCTTTCCAGAGAGTTTTTCTAATAAATATTCTGGGTTTACTGAACATATTTTGTTAGTTTGTTGTATTTATATCCTGTTTCCTAAGCATAAAATGGTATCTGAACAAAGGAGCATACAGTTAATTATCCACAAAGTATATATGTTTGTATATGTTCATAAACACACACACAGGATAAAAATCTGTATTCAAAGGCAGATGATTAAAAATCCCCCTAAATATAAGGAACTGGCCAGCCAATTATCCCTAAGTGGCAATGGAGGTGGAATTCCAAGTGAAATACTGCTATCATGGAAAAGTTAACCATCCATCTGTGGTGGTACTGCAGAAAGACATCTCCAAGAGACTTGAGTTATTGGATTGTGCATTCTACATAAGAAAACCTTTCTTTAACAATACAGGAGGAGATTTTGGCCAGTGCTCAGAAACTCACTGGTAGCTATGCAGTTATTTGAGAATAATGTCTGAACGTACTCTCCAGCTGGTGACAGTAACCCAGCAGAGCTGTATTTTTGGAAAATTCTCCATATATAGGGCATCCTGTAATCAACCAGACCACAGGATATCACATAGTGCAAAATCAAACTATAGGCTACTTTCTTCTCAGCATATAAGCCAAAATGGGCAGAGAACATAGCTGCATTACAATTAAGTTAAAATGGTTTTTTCACAGTTAGTATCACTGTTAATACGCTAAATTACCAAATTGCTGTATGAAGTGATCTGAAGTAACTTTGCATTATGCTGTCTGGGGCTGCCTTTTAAGTCACCGGCAATAATTCTCAAAACTGTGTTCTTATTTTGAAATACCAGCTATTGCAAAGCAATAGTAGAATAGCAAAAACAGAAAGACAAAAATCATCTCAACTAAAATACAGATGATACAGTGGGATGGGACACTCTGTGAGCAGTTGGGGCAATCTGCATTTCCACTTATATCCTGTCACTGATAAGACTTCCACTACCATAATTCTATGCAATAAAGATGTGGCTGATGATAGTCTGTTCAGACATTCTGGAGTATCACTATGCCTAACAAACATACTACCATTTTTCTTTCTATAAGGGATCACACAATTGCTGAAGTTGGTATGTGTGTGGTCATTGTCAAAAACCACCACCACGATCATCTCTATACCAGACCATGGCTCTCTGGGTGGTTTCTAGCAACCCAAGCAAGTACCAGGAGTGGTCACATAATTGGTATCAATGCAACAGAAGGCTTATGCACATACAGGGAAGCGTGGAAGATCTTCTTCAGTATAAGGAACCCATGGCAATTATGGTTTCCATTCCTGTGGGGATGCCCAGCATATCCTCTCTGCATGTTGGCCCTCTTTTTGTAAAAATAAATTTTAGGCACCAAAGAATGTGGCTGCTGGGCTCACTTGGATGGGCATGGCCTGAGGCATGATTTTACCTCCTTCTCAACACTTACTTTCTTCTTAACAGCCCTTGATAAAAGCCAATTTTGTATTCCTTTAACAATCAGATGTTATGCATATCTCTGTAAATAGCAGTCCCTACCTAAAGACCAAACTGTTTGTTCCAGTTAAGGAGGTGAGCCTTCTTAAGTCTGGGCTACTATTATTTCATTGCCAGCTACTCTTCCCCAAGTTTATTACATTGCACAACATAGCAAAGATCACAGTTATCACTGAAGATGTTTGATACTGATGTTTTAATTAAAATAATCCCAATAACTACTGAAGAGCCTGAGAAGCAGGATCCCAATGGAACACATTAAGGAACAAGGGGCATCAAAATATTAATAATTCCAGTGCAGAAAGCTTTGTTGGGACACATTCTTGAGCAATCTCCCCAAATTAAAATATTCAGAAAAAGTACCTTCAGCTTCAGGGAATCAGTATCATAAGGGCTGGGAGTAAAATCAGTGTGAACCCTGGCCCGGCCACAAAACGGTCCTCTGTATGGAAGTTCTTCATCATCACCATCTTCAGACTTGACACTTTCCCTGTTACTGGCTGAGGAGTCTGTTGTACTTACTGTCTGCCCACCTGTTTAGGACAGAAAAAAGAAAAGAGTTTGCCCTACAAAAGGAAATTACAAAAACACCCAAAGCATGTTAGAAACGCTAATTCGATATTTATTTCTACTTAATATTATAGGTACCTTAAGACAACAGCTGCAACAGGTTCTGTACACCCCTTAACTGTATCCAGAATCAGTTTCAGTTTAAGGCCAGTTCCAACAACAAAAATCTGTGTTTATCAGCTTCCTTCAGAGACATCCACTCTTGTTTGCTTGTCAAGCACTTTCTCTATGTAGCTCAACGCAAGCTTTCACAGCACATGCTAATAAAACATTGGAAGCAGCTAGCACTGAAATGTTTTATGTAGACATCAGCCCTCAACAGGTATTTTTCTCAATTGAATCCTCCATCTTCCTCTCTTGCAAGACAGGAAAAAAAACAAGAGAATGAAAGAATGCAAGAAGGTGACACTGAAGATTTGCACTGTCACTGTAATATGCTTAGGTTCAATTGAGGAAAATATCTCTTTTTCACCTTGTGAAGATAAAAAAGGGTTCTTGGGAATCATACCTGTACTTAAGATCTGCAAATATATGATAATTGTTGCTGTAATATGCTGTCAAGTTGGCAACCCTATGAGTAAAAGCTCTCTAGACTATCCTGTCCTTGACAGCCCTGCTCAGCTCTTCTAACCAGAAGGTAGTGGCCTCCTTTATGGAATCAGTTCATTTCCTATTTGGTGTTCCTCTTCTCCTTCTGCATTTGACCTCAACCATGATTATCTTCTCCAGTGAGTCTTGACTTCTCATGATGTGCCCAAACTATGACAACTCCAGGTTTGTCATTTTTACTTTCAAGGACAGTTCTGTCTTGATCTGATCTATGACATACTTGTTCGTCTGTTGGTCCGCTCTTCTCCAGCACCATATTTCAAATTCATCTATTTTTTTCCTGTCAGGTTTTTCACTATCCTGTTTCCATACCTGTATCAGGAATACAATAGTGTGGGTGATCTTGACCTTGGTCTCAGTGAGATGTGCTTATACTTGAGGATCTTTTCAAGTTCTTTCACTGCTGCTTTTCCAAGTCTCAGTCCTCTTTGAATTTCTTAGCTGCAGTTTCTCTATGACTTGATGGAGCCAAAGTATACAATTTTAGCTTCTTCATTGTTATTAAAGTTGTGTAATTTTTCTGTAGAGATATTTGTTTCTATAATGTTCAGCTAAAGTCCTGCCTTTGCAATGTCTTCTTTCACTTTCCTCAGGAGTCATTTCAGTTCATTGTTGCTTTCTAACATAATATAGTATCATCTGCATGTCTTAAATTCTATATATCTTCCAGCAATTTTCACTCCATCTGATAAAGCAGAACCACCAGAGAGTTTCTGTAGCTTATCCATACATGTTTCCTTCTCTGAGAGACACACATATTAATTTTACCTTGCAAGTACTTTCCAATTCAGATATAGTTCTCATGTTTAAAATGTACATTATCAATAATAATTCAAATACTGATTCTTCTGAATGTGTTTGTATACAGAGTCGCACAAATCTAGTTGACAACCTTTTTTGCCACCACTGGTTTAAAATATCAGCAGTATTATTACAGCTATTAATTTAAAATAGATGAAGGAATTATAATCCCTTGTGGAATACCTTTATATAAGACTTGACCAAGCATTAACTTTGGACTTTGACTACCAACTTTATATGTTTTATACTTCATCAAGCAAGAATGTCCAATTTCACACAAAAAGAAAGCAAAGCCTTGGGTTCCAAATCTTATCAGCAGAGTAACTGGCAATTTATTTGAACCAAGCATTGGGTACTTTCATTCTCTTCACAGCCTCAATCCTTGATAGCTCAAAGCTGACTCTGACTAGGCTGTACATGGAAATACCACAACAATAATAGTTTACATGCAGTTTGTTTGAAAAAGATCAGATCTGAAGAACTGTTCCATTGTTTGCTCAGTACTGACTGACGCTATAGCATTTTTAATTTCACTTATAATTCATATTTGGTTTTCTGTGCTGCTTTTTTCTGTGTAAAAGCAAAGAATCATAACATCATTCAAAAGGATATAAAATCAGTTCAGACATAATTATGGCCTAATAAACTATGGTTATTAGACTAGGAGCAAACATTGGTCAGATTTGGATGACATGCTTTAGTTCATTCTTATTTAAACCATGATGAGGCACAGCACCCACAAGAGCCAGGCTGCAAACGCAGTCCTCACTTGGGTGTGTCCTCCTATGTAAACCTGGAAAGTGTGAATAAAATGAGGGTTAACTATGTAACTGTAGGGTCCTCCTATGTAACTATAACTTATGATTATCAACGGATGTTAAATACACACTCATTGGGTTCACACACTACAACAACCCCCGAATGGGTATGGTTTATTCAAAGTGGTGGCTGCACCTTGCATTAAGTAAATCAAAATGTGCTGTGAATGTCACGCCGTCCCACTGTGCCTGGATGCTCCTTCCCCTTATGCTCCATAATAGAACATTTGTGGGATGTGTGAAATCAGATAGTTTCCCATTATGGAAGCACCAGATCAATGGAAGCGTTATGCATGAGTGAGGAATATATGCAAACAATATTAGTTATTGGTTGAATAAATGATGAACCCCACCTCAAGCAGGCCCTGTTGAACTTTGTATTTACTACTTACTCATTGAGCTCTGGCCACTTAGTGAGCTCCTCAAACTTTCCACTGAACCACCAGCTTTCAGTTTGGGTTTATCCAGAGAATCAATATCTGGCTGTGCCAACTGAGGAGATTCTGGCATCACACCTAGGCTAGGATCCTGAAAGAAAATTACACACAATTTATGTTCAGATTCCTTTATACTCAAGTTCGAAATACTGGTTTACAGTAAGAGAAATGTTATCATCTAGGATAGATCCATTTCTATGTATCTGGATTATACTTACCTCCTAAATAGCCTAACAGAGGCAATAGACTAAGCTAGAGAAGGAGATTAAGAGAATCTATGAATAATCCTTTCCAAGCTGGTATGCTCCTGATATGATGGGACCACAACCTCCACCACTGTTTATGCTGGTTGGGGGCACATAGACTTATGTTCTAAAACATAGGAAGGGCACCAGTGTGGGGGAGACTGAGCTAAAAAGACAAATGTAAAAATGAAAAAACAGGCCCAAATTCAGAAAGTAACATGACCAAAGTCACAGAGAACCAGAAAGTAAAGACTGGAAGGAACCTGCCTCTTTTTACTTGGGGTTCAATAGTCCCAGGTAAATATGCACATGACTGCAACCTTGGAATGCAATCCTATTGTCCTTAAGTTGGTATCCCAGGAGCAATATGATCCTATAAAGATTTACTTAAGAGTAATTCCCAAAGAACAATAGAGGATACAGCCTATCTCTCTTGGATGAAGGAGAGAGATACTGTCTTCCATATCTGCAGAAACTTCTACAGCTTTTTGCTCCTGGAGTTTAGAACTGCCAATTCCCAGATATGCGGCTGGCGTTGGCGTAAAGAATTTAATCAGTAGGGAAATAGTCAAAAAAACCCACTCAGCCCAGAACAAGGTAACTCTTTCTTACTTCTCAGAAGTTCTTTACTTCTGAGAAAAAGCTTCTGCACAAAGGGTGGCAGAGAGAAAAAAACTTTACAAATATTTTTAGTGAAAGCATACAATTAAAAGGGACTCATTTTGACTCTATATCCTGTGGTTTGGTTGCTTTGTTAGGTGTCTAGAGTTGTCATCCTGCTTTTTGTAAATGAAATTGTAGATGAATGAACAAAAAGTTACTGTTTGTACTGAATAACTAAGCACATTATTTTTGAAGGTATAACGCTAAATATAGTAACCTGAAGATGCAACTCACTTTCAAAAATTGTAAACCAAACAAAAATCCTTTGCATGCAAAGTGCATTTTTTTTCATTCACTCAGGTAACAAGACAGATTCAAAAGGACTAAAACAATTATTTCCAGGAGCTATCTGCAGTCTGAACAGCATTAATTTATGTGTGGATGTGTGCACACACAGCCTGGTGTAAAGAAAGCATTTTGTTTGATAAATGACAAGTCAAGAAAATAACATGGTACAATATCCAACACTATCTGAAGCAAGAAATTAAAAGAAACCTGCTGATATACAAGAATTGCTGGCTATTCCCACCGACATGCAATCACAAACCATCTGAATGAAGCCTGTTATTTGCATGCTGCAGAGTCATCAAGAAACATATTCCCACAAATCATGCAAATCTCTTGAGAGAATTGGAGAACTGAAGCCACAAATTGTTAATAAGAATGTGTCTTCCATTTTTCTAATGTCTGTGTTTCTTGTAGTCCAGTCTTGTTGCCAGTAGCTTGCAGACAAGTTTGCAAACATGACAAATACCAGCTCAAACCTTATATATGGGCACTTGGGGCTGGCAGTGGCAGGAGACTCTAGTATTGGATGGCATATAACAACTTAAATGAATAAATACCACATCTGCCTGTGTGCCTTTATGTCAGGAAAAGGCCATTTATGGCCCTCAAAATGCCTTTGCCTACAACTCCAATGTGGGGTAGTGGTTTAGAGTACAGGCCTGGGATGCAGAAGATCTGGGTTCTAGTTCCCGCTCAGCCATGGAGCTCAGTGCAGTTTTGGGCCACTCACAGATTCTCAACCTAACTTATCTCCCAGAATTGTTGTGAGGATTTGACTGAAAGGAGAAGGAAAATTATGTAAGTTGCCTTGAGTTCCTTGAAAAGGAAAAACGGTGGGATAGAATTATAATGAATGAATGAATGATTCTCATGATCTATCATCTATCTATGCTGATTAGGGTTGATAGAAGTTGTAAGGCAAAACAGCTGGAGAGACTCAGGTAGACCACTCCTAATTTAAGTGCAGGTGTTGTTCTTCCTATGCATGTTTAGATAAAAAAAATTCTGCACTTCCCACCATTCCCCAGCTAGTCATGTTTTCTGATCAAACATATGTAGTATTGTACCCTAAAAAAATTAATATTTTAAACTTCTCTCTATACCCTTTCTTTTCAGAATGACTCTTAGCATAAATCAAGGGATTAACATTTGCATATCGTGTCTTGAAGCCATAATATATTTAATATATTAAATCTATTTATTTATTTATTAAAACATTTTTATGCCGCCCCATTCGCTGAAGCCTCGGGGCGGCTTACAACAATCTAATGAAAGTTTGGTTCAATGAAGGACTATTATGTTAAAATTCAGAAACAAAACTTAAAAGCAAGTTTAGTCTGACTTATTACCAGTATTACTATGCACTAAAATTAGTTGGATGTGCTCTTCAGTTCAGCTAATGAACAACTCTGGCTTATGCACTAATTACTGTAGAAGCAATGCTTCAATGAGATAGTTCTAGATTGAACTACTCTGATCTTCCTTGACTCAGCAGGAAACAAGATGCACCTGTATTAGCAAAGGATTACGTTATGTTACGTTAGTATCTTTTTATCTCTTGCAAGGAACCCCAGGCAGCTTACAAGGTTTTATTTCTCACAACAACTCTATGAGGTAGATTAGGCTGGGAGTTAGCAACTGGCCTGAAGTCAGCCAGTGAGGTGTATGGCTGATTGAGGACTAGAGCCTGGAGCACTCAAGTACCAGTTTAACTGCAACATTACACTGGCTGAGTTACAGTACTATTCTTGTACTAGTAGGCCATAAGCTTTGTGTTACGTGTTTAGAATCAGATGCCATGATGTTTGTGCCACATCTGTCAGGATCAGTTCAGAGCTTTGTACCAATCTGATAAATATTAAATGGATTTTGGAAGATCGATGGGCTAACACTTCACTACCACTGACTCTATTTTTATATAAGGAGTCTTGATACCACCAAGATGGTCTTGTGCATAATAATAGGCTTCGCTTCAGAACAGATGATAACTGCTTCATTCTTGCATAAATCCTCAGGCCAATTTTTTATTTGCAGCAACAGCAGTGCCTTAGTGCCCCACACCCACTCTGACAGGAATGAACCTGCTGCCAAAGTGATGGGCTTCTGGCCCTGTGTCACTGCAGATAAGTATGACTCAGAGCAAAACACAGGGACTGGGGACCTGAATTTAGCTCGGCATATTATTCCAACCTGTCTCGGAAGGCATAAAGATAAACACAAGCAGCGATGTTCTGCTTATCAAATACCAGCCTGTAGCTCCCAAATGAAGCCTGCTGCTACACTGCTGCATCTAGATTATTCAACAGTCCTCCAGAGGGCGATATTTAATCAATGGACAGTATTTTTACAGCTGATGCCAATGCCTGTGGTTGCTTGCCAGCAATTACTTGTTATGTGTATAGTTCAAGTGGAAAGACTGATGAAAAAAAGATAATAAAAAGTGTTGGGTATTTGACAACCTACCAAACCAAATTGCATGATGTTTGCCAAATGCAACATGCTTGGAAAAATAAATTGATTTTGGCCAGAGGAAGCTGAAAGAGCAGCTTTAAAAGAATACATATTCAGAATGAACTTTAAGGGCCAACTGTATAGATCTCAACAAGGAGGGAATTAAATATGTAATAAAGGCATACATGCTCATTTGCAAAGTTTTCTGGACGAATGGAATTGACAGACTTTCAGTCTATGTACCAAACTGTTTTAGCCAGATATGAAGACTGCCCACTGTGGACGACTTCGTGATACAGCATTCCATGCATCACAGACAAACTGTCCAGTGACCTAGAGATGTTCCCAGGGACAGATTCTTATTATTAGAACTATCTTTCCCAAGCATATTTTATAGAGTATTACTAACTGGAGAGAATTCCAATAATATTTGCATGGTTACTTTTGTTTTCTTTTTATTAGCAAATGACATTTTTCCTACAAATGTTCGTCAAAAAAATGCATGGAGCAGAAAAAGGCATGATTCATTTCAAATGAAAGGATTTAATGGACCATATTTATAATAAAGCGAGTAACCATTATGTAGTTGTAGGAGGAATGTGGAACCAATACTCGTGTCTCTAATCCCTTCAGCTCCATCCAGAATGGCCAATGGTCAGGTGGGATGGGAACTGGAGTCCAACATCTTCTGAAGGACAAGTCTGTCATCTGATTTCCAAGGATTTATTTATTAATTAAATTTGTTTAAAGGTCGCCTATTAGCATCATGCTTCTTGGGCAGCCATTACAATAAAATCACCAATAGGTAATATATATAAAATAATACAATTAAAATTCAATGATAAAATAACATATAAACAATCAACAAAAATAAAGCTTAAAGAATTAAAACCAGTGTAAACCAATGCAAAATAATCTAAGTGGTACCTTTGGTGCTCCAGAAAATAAAAGTTTTAGTCAGGCGCCTAAAACTCAGCAGAGTGATGCCTGACGAAACTCTGATGGTAACTTGGGGTGCCACCACAGGAAAAGCCCTCCCCCTTGCACTGTCCTCCCTAACCTCCTTAGGGAGAAGAACTAAGATGGGCTCTGTTTGTGACCTTAAAACAACGGACAGGAATATATAATGTGGTTCCAAGCCATTTAGGGCTTTATATGTCATAGGCAACATGTAATATGTTCATAAGAATTAGCCCTTGTCAGCAACAGCACTGCCCTGTTTCAAGGGAAGCCCCACATATAGTGCATTGCAATAGTCCAATCTGGGGATGAATCACCATGACGAGACTACCCTCATCCAAGAAGGAGAAAATCAACCAAAGAGGCTCTCCTGGCAACTGAGTCCGCCTAGGTAACCAGGGAGAGCTCAGTGTCCAGGAGTATCCCAAAGCTACACATTTTGTCCTTTAGTGGGAGTGCAACTCCATCCAGGACATTGTAATCACCCAGCTGAAATGGAGGCTTACTCAACAACAGTCCTTCCATCTTGTCAGGGTTGAGGTTAATCTTATTGGCTTTCATCCAGTTAATTACTGAATTCAGACACTGGTTAAGGGTAGAGATCACCACACCTGGGTCAGATGAAAAAGAGAGGTAGAGCTGAGTGTCATCAGCATATGATGAAATTTCAGCCCAAACCTCCTGATGACCTCTCCAAGTGGTTTCATGTAGATGTTAGCATGGGGGTGGGTAAAACTGAACCCTGCAATACTCCATGACATAAATGCCATGGCACAGAATGATAATCCTGCAGAACCATCATCTGGAGACAGTCCATCAGGCAGGAGTGAAGCCAGCACAATGTGGTGCCTACAACTCCCAGCCTGGCCAGCTGCTCTAGAAGAATACTATGGTCGATGGTATTGAAAGCCACTGAGAGGTGCAGGAGAATCAACAGGGTTGCGCTCATCCTGTCTCTCTCCTGGCAAATGTTATCCCACAGGGCGATCAAGGCAGTCTCACTTCCAAAGCCAGGCCTAGAACGTGATTGAAATGGATAAAGAGAATCCATTTCCTCCAAGAGAGCTTGGAGTTGTTTGGCCACCACCAACTCAACCACCTGAGTGTGTCCCTTTTCATGTGTTGGGCCAGTAACAAGTTGAGACAGCCCCATGAATGTCATGGCCACCATGAAGTCCTGAGCTGCCCCAAATTGGATTGCCTCAGCATGGAGCTGTGATCCCTCAGGACCAACATCCTGGGGGTCTGCAAGATCAGGACAGAGAGAGCCTCTGCCAGCTCAGGGAGGGAGACTACTGAGGGATACATCAGCAGAATTCCAACTCTTTCTCAATTGCCCAATGCAGGGTATAAACACTCAAGATCTGGACTGGAGTGGACAGGAAGCCTAGAGAAGGAGATAGAACTCCTATGAATTAAAGCCACTCCCTCTCCCTAGCCAGTGATGATCAAGATGATGTTGGTGCTGGACTGAGTACCTGGGGCGGACAAAGCTGGGTGAGGACAACGCCTCACGCTCCAGGTCTCAGTAATACGTGCAGGTCGGCACCCTCATCCACAATAAGGTCATGGATGAGAGACCTGGCAGTCAACAACAGCATCATCAGGCCAGAAGGCAGGCAGACATTATTACCACATATAGTTGGGTTGGAGGAGAGACCCAAATGAGGACAGTAATTTCATACTATAAACTAATCATTTCTTCAGAGTAATTAGGAAGCTTCTTTTCACTGAATCAGATCATTATCTAGTCCAGTATTTTCTGCATTTACTTGCAGTGGCTCTCTCAAGTTTGAAGTAGGATTTTTTCCAGTCCCACCTGAAGCTGCTAGGGACTCCTGATTGAAATGCGTGTACTTTACCATTGAGATACAGTATATCTTGGGATTTTTAAGAAGGCTGTGTATGTTTAAATAGTTATATTACTGATAATAGTTTAAATATTTTGGATTGTTTTATTGCATATCTTTGGTGTAAGGTGTTTGAAAAAAGAAGATGAACACAAATATTCGAAACAAAAATAAATTATCTGGCCAATAGAATAGGGTATGAAAATTTAGATAAGATAGTAAGATAATACTGTTTAAATATGAAAGGTGTTTCATTCTTTGTAAGCTGGAGTGTTTTTTCTTTACATATTGCTATCTAATTGGGAGCATGCACTAAGGTACTCTGACATTGCTAGAGGACTAATACAAAATAAATAAAACCTTTCATTCTTTACTGCATGTGAATCACCAGCATATGTGGAATCAAATCATATACTTTACTGTCCTAACTCAATCCTAATTCCCTTTTTATGATCGTTATTGAAGCTCTTTTCACAGTAGTTTTGAAAGGGCCTTGGAATTACTTGACTGTATTATACCCATGAGAAATATTTCTAGTGATGCTGTTGTACCTTTCAATGATATCTCAGAACAATGGTTCTTCCAGTATTTACCCGTGAAAGTAAAGCACTCAGCTGTTACTTAATTTGCAGTAAACAAGAAAATGAACAAACTGGCATACCTGTTCTGACAAGGAGCTGCTGTATTTTTTAGACATCCTTTTCTTCATGGTTTCTTTTACAGATTTTACCTTTTTACCAAGAGATATGCGGGAAGTAGAAGGGGATTTGATTACTTCTTTGTAAACAAAATCACCATCTTTCCCCTGTAAAATGAAAAAGGAAACAAATGAAGAGCACGATTTGCCATTCTCATATTTCTCTGGCCAACTCTCAAAGCAAATACATCTGAAGAAGACAGCAATGGGTAACATTTGTAGCTGTGGACTTTTATGAAGCTGTGAGAAGGTCCTTTACTTGGTGCCTAAAAGTGAGCCTCCCTGGAAATTTAATTTCATAGTCAGAGTAGCATGAGCGGGAAACGGGGTGCCTCTTCCTAGTAGCTACCCCACTTGACTTCCCATGACAGGAACTCTCTCAGAGGGACTGATGCAGATGATCTTAGAGTCCAGTCAAGAACATATGGGAAGAGAAAATCCTTCAGCTAACCTGGTTCCGAAGTGTTTAGGGTTCTGAATGTTAATATCAGCCCAGACATGGATGGGCAGCAGGGCAGATAGTAAAGTACTGGCCTAATATGTTCATGCTGGCCAGTTACCATGAACAGTCTTGTTGCCATGTTCTGGACAAGCTCTGAAGTTTTCAGAGCATTTTGTATAATGCATTGCGTTAATAAGAGAAGTTACAAGGGCCTGAGTAATGCTAGTGAGGCTATCCCTCTCCAGATAAGGGCACAGTTGCTATATCAATCTAAGCCGATCAAAGGTGCTCCATGCCACCAAGTCCACCTGTGCTTCTAGTGTCACTGCTGGATCCAGGAGCATCTCCCAAACTATGACCCTGATTCTTCATGGGGACTGTGAATCTCCTCTAGAACTGAGGAGGATCACAGTCATCTCACTCATCCAGGCAAGTGAACCATCCAGTAACAGTATTTCTGTCTCATCTGGACTGAGTCTCATTTTATACAATTGAGTCTCATACAGTTCATTACTGTGTCCAGAGACTGCCACTACCTCACCTAAATTTGATAAAAAGGAGAGACAGAGCTGGATGTCATCTGCACCTCATCTCACATTCCAAACAACCTTCCCTAGTAGTTTCATGTAGATGCTAAACATGAGGGATAAAACAGAGTCCTCTGAAACTCCATAGCATACCTTCCTAGGCACAGAACAATCATCTCCTAGCACTACCTTCTGAAATTTACTGTTCAAGTAGGAGCAAAACTACTGCAAAGCAATTCTTACAACTCCCAATTCAGACAGCCTATACAAAAGGATACCACGATGAAAGGTAGCAAAAGCCACTGAAAGGCTCAAGAGAATCAATACCTGGGGTAAAGGTATTGAACAAGGCAACCAAGGCAGTTTCTGTTCCAAAACCAGGCCTGAAGCACAACTGAAATGGATCTAGATAATCCATTTTGTTCAAGAGCTGAGAACAGTGACCTGCCCAAGCAGGGAATGTATTTATTTGTTAAATACATTTTTATCCCACCCAATAGTCCAAAGGTTCTTTATTGGCTATTAGCCAATATTTTTCAGCAAGATTCATAATACTAAATACATTCTAATTATTGCCCTTTGATTTTTTTCTTTAATAATACTTGGGAGTATTCCATACTGACATAGCCTTTCCACATGCGAGTCTCATGAAAAATACACTGCTTTCTACTTACACAAACCTCATCACTGTTTTAAGTATGTCCTGCTCTTCAACTACCTTACTTTTTCTTTATTCTTTTGCAAACATTGTGCAAGTTAAAAAGGTAGTTTCAGGAACAGTTTCAAGTCCTGTATCCTATTGCTTGTATGATCACTTCAAATTTCAGGGCATTTTTGGCCAATTCAACTATATTTGGTTTTGAACCAAAACCAATATTTGTTTATAAGGATAATTATATTCCATTTATCTAAATTCCAAGTAGTTTTAACTTTGAGTGCCAAACATGAAGCATATACATTTTAGTAGTTACTCTTGTTGCAATATCACTAGTTGCTCTATAACTAAACTACATGTGGCACTTGGTTGAGTGTAGCTTGCTCTCATTTTTGTTGTGTTTTACAAAACACAACTGCAGAGGCTACAATTAAAAAGTGACGCTTGCACAGGGTGAGAGGGTTCTGAGTCCTTTCTAAGGACTTTTTGTGCTAAATATCATCCATCAACTGCTTTTGGCCCAAGAAAGAAAATAAGTGGATGCAAAAAAAGAAAAAAAAGAGCACTCGAAACCGAGTGAGTGCTTAGACAAAAGGGGAAAGGCAGGAAAAAGCAGGAGGAGATGCAGTTACTGTCCAAAGACTTCTGTGAAAGGATGGGATAAAAAAGCTTTTAATTAAAATAACAATAAATAAATTAAAACCTTGAAGGATCAATGGAATGTAATACTGACTACAGTCCATACAGTCCATCATTCCATTCCTTTGAGCAGCCAGCTTGGAAGTTCACAAAGAAGGCATCAAGGGAATTATCCTGTTTGCCTCTACCATCTGCTCTTGAAAGGTATGTTACTTTGAAATAAGGAAATTTTATTCAGGTGTCATTACTAGTAGTTAATGCCAGATATGACCATTGTGAATTTGCCTCATCTTTTAAAAAGGCTATCCAAGTTGTTCCTGATTGCTTGTGATAACTAACTTCAGAAGATACTGGGCGAGTTTGCATGTAATGCCAACCCATTGAGGTAAATCATACCTTCTTAACTTGCACATGTGCCAAGCAGCCATAATGACCCTAAGGATGGCCAGGCTCCTCCTTGTTGCTCTCCTCATCTCCACCCCTTACCTCTAATTCCTCCTGGTGGTACCACAGGCGTCCCTGAATGGAGCAAGGAGGCTCCTCTGTTTAACAGCCACAATCACAATTTGAGTTTGGTGCACCACGGCTGTCAAAGTCTCTGCCATATAAACAGGGCTCAAGCAACGATGGTAGGGACAATTCCTGGAACAGGCCACTGTATCTTGTCACGGTTCTAACAGTAAGTTAGAATGGTAAATCAACCCAACTGGGTTTAGACAATACAAAAAAACTTAGTAGTAACAGTCAATGGTTGCTTGTCATGTTATGCCGACCTAGTCACTGTGCAAGATGTGTTTTCCCTCTTTCATCTAGATCCTACCGCAGATCAACATCACAAGATGATCCTGAGTGCCAGGGATGAGAGAGGAACATTCTTTTCAATCCAGAGGGATTTTCTTTTTGCAGTGTGGGGGAGGGGAAGGATCCAAATTCCAGCATGATGTTGCTATTCATCTGCTATCCCAAACACTGTGTATGTGTTTGTTCCAGGACTCCAGGCTTCTGCAGCTGCACTCCACATTTCCCCCTCCCTCCCAAACAGGCCTGCCATCTGGCCACTGTTCCAACTAGGACATTTTCTAGTTAAAGTCATTTCCCTCACATTCACACACTAATGCATGGCAATTCAGGAACTCCAAGGATTTAGATTCAGTAGTACAGCACTAGGATCTGCTGTGCTGTATGATTTTCCAGTAACAAAACCATGGATTTAACTTGAATAGCTGTCAGTGTTCTCAAAAATCCTTGGTACAAGCACAAAAGTTAGCTTGTGGGATAGAAAAAGAGAAGACTTCTGAAGAAAGGTAAAAAATTTGGTGGTTGAGAGTGGAGGTAGGAAAATACTATCTTCTGTAAATATTAGATACAGTGCATTTTATGAAAAAGCTGCAGCTAATCAAAACATTAATGAAAAATTATAAATTAGTAGCCATTTTTGAAAACACAATTCTGTCAGCACCACATGCCCAAGTGGCATGGGCAAGCTGCCAACTTTCACAAAGGAAGAAAAGACTTAAGCAGCGGAAAGATCGGGAGAACCATGATCAGATAACCCCTTCCTCTTTTCTTTTAATTCAAAGGATTTAGATTCACTGTGACAGTAGTCAAATGTGTTCTAGAAACAAAATCATTAATCCTTCCTGACATAGTGTTTTCTTCATGTTCCATTTCTAGTGAATTTATTATTTCTCCCATGGAAAAAAGCATTCAGGCACTAAATATGTACCACTCCTTCAGTTCTTTCTCTTCCCCATATAGGTCTCCTTTCCAGTCTCAACATTTCTCCAACATTAATCCATACTATGGCCCGATTCATATGAAAATGCAAGTGTGTGGAGGATTCATCAAATGGCAAGCTGTTTACATACCACGCACTTAGGGTTTTGTGGGGCTCACAAATAACATACTTGCACTATGAGTTACCTTCTCGCATTATTTGTTTTACTGCAGGATCGCCAGCCCTATCCTTAAATACTTTTAACCTACTTCCAATTTAATTAGACAATAACATATTCTTCTCAGGATATCTCTATGAGTATCTTTTCATACTATCTTAGATATAATATGCTTTCAGTCATGACAGATGTGTCTTTATTCAGTTGGTGCATTGTTTATGGTAAGTGATATGAATAGCCTACTAACTTGATCTTTCTGGACAAGCTATACCCATGACTGGCAAATGAGTAGATCCTTGTGGAAGCCGTGAATCATGAATGGCACTAATGTAGTGATGTGATAGTGCTAGTGGGGACTGACGTTTTCTGCAAATCCTTTTGGTGTTACAGCAGAGAGCTTTGTGTTTTCCTAAGTAACTTCCTAAGAGTTTTCACCTCTCTCCATGCTGCAATACCCAGGCTATAGCATGAAAACATGCACATGTGAAACAATATCAAATAATTAGAATCTTCAGAAAATGAACTCTCATATTTGAGTGGTCACCAGTTGATTGCAATTTGTGATCTAATTATAAGATTAAGACATCATTTTTCCTCAGTTCTAAACTTAATTCTATTATAAATACCACCATTGTGCCTTACTGAAATATAAACAAACAAGCTTTAGGCAATGTCATATGTGGACCTATATCTCATACTTACCATCTGATCCAAACTGTTTCCAATATGCAGTGAGCGATTTGTCAAGTCAAAGCCACCAAAACTGCAGGTTCTCTGTAAAATAATACAGATTTAAGCCAGTCTTACTTGTAAATAAAGTCATTATACTGACTCCTAGGATACAAAAGACAATGGAAAACACAATTGTACAAATAATGATAATAAGCAAAATACTATGAGAAACTTAAAAGATTCTGGTGTTACATTCATGCATCATGATGTCTTTCCCTGATCTTTTGCCTTTTTTTCTTTTTTTTTTGGGGAGGAAGCATCTGATCTTCAGGCATTTAAAAAATTCATTTTGGCTAGATAAGAATGTTACACAAAGGAGCAATTAAAGGATTCCTAGATTGAGGAATCATATTATGTAACCAATTTAAACATCATAATCATTCTCAATGTTTTGTTTTGTCACTGCGCTGCAAAGCAATACCAAAAAAGACTTTGGCCCAAGCCTACAGGGTACTAAAGACATTCTGGAAGCAGACAGTTTTCTAGGAACTACTTGAAGGCGATAAGTGTGGAATGACTCTCAAAGGTACCCTTAGTATTTCGCATGAAAAAGGCAATTTGCCAAAGCTTTCAAGATATATTAATAAGATTTAATTCTTAGAAAGCATTGCCTCCATCAAGACCTCTCTGGTACAAAGCAGCTTTGTTACTGCTACAAGAGAAAGTAGGTTATATTTACAGTGGCACAGTCTAGAAGAATGAGACAAGAGGAATGACTCACTCTTAGACCAACAGCCAAAGTCAGAAACACTGATGCTTATTTCTAATAGTTTTGCCTGTCTAAACACATCAGCCTTATGATACCACCTTTCTTCCCAAGCTAAAAAGCACACTAAGCAAAGTCACATTTCTACAGCAAGACAGGAGGTACTTGGCTTTAGCTAATTCCTCTTATTTATAATGCATTATTTGAAAAAGTAGTATAAAGTTGTATAACTCCTTTTCAGTTACACAAGAGTTTTTGTCCATGCTAGAAGTAAATTACCATGTCATCTCTATGTCTTGATCCAGTGTCAGTGTTTATATTTTTCCTGTCTTACAGAAAAGATAAAACCTCCCTCACACACACACCCAAAAATGGAATTGGGATGTAATTATTATCTTAGTTTGTGTAGGACACCAGTGTTTCTTATAACTATTTCATAAGAAATACCTTCCCTTTTAATATGCTAATAGCAGACACATAGTTGTGTCTGTTAGCAGTTTACAAGTCAATAGAAGTTGATTAGAAGTTGCATCTGGAGACTTGTGTGAAGAAAGCTTCTGTCCTTCATCAGACAAGTCTTTGTTGGAAAGCGTCCATTTGTTGGAATCACGTTTTGAGGCTAAACCTAACTGGTAGGCAATTGCAGCATAAGAAGTCAATCATGGTTGTGCATATGTGACAACATGTATAAAAACAGCCAAAAGATGCTATTGGGCAGTATGCTGGAATGTAACGTAAAAGCAAAGTAGTACCAGTATCGAAAGATTTAAGTTACAGCTGGTAAAATAAGACTTGCTTTAGAGATATACTTCACAGCTTCCAATAATTGTATGAGTAACATGCCAAACGAAGACTGTGAATGAAAGAATTGTAGACTGCTCGATGGAATGGTCATGCAATCAAAATCCATGTTGGTGCAAGTCTGAACTGTCTATGCATGCTTTTGCCACCAAAACAATTTAGATGCCAAAATTAAATGCAAGTACAAAACAAGTAACTTTTCCTACTGAACAAGAGGCTGCCACAATCCCGAGGTTACAGTAGGCATGAATTGTGATTTCAGAGGAAAAGGGTGCAGAAGTGCTTAAAGGTCACGAACAGTATATCAGGCTCTTGCAATTTTGGAAAAGAAGAGAGCCACAAGAAGTAGTTAATTAAAGACTCCCTTTGGACAAAAAGGGAAAGGTCATACCTTTGTGGCCCTGTGGAACAAATTACAAAAGGATAATTAACTCCTGACTATCAAACCATAAATAATTATATGGAATGATGTTGTGTTTAGAACTGCAAATTTATGGGACAAGATTTCAAAAGTAATATCTTTTGGGAAGTAGTCCTAGTGAAGTACAAAGCAGGCCAGAATCAACTAATATATGAAACATCTGGGGAAAGGGTTTCATTGTCCCAGGCAGAAATTAATGTACCTCATAGTGCTTACTAGTCCAATGGAGCTGCAAATCTGGCTACAAATTAGCAATAAAGTTAATTTAGTTCTTTTGTCCACCACAGTCACACCCTTAAAAATGAAGCAACACCAGGCCTCTTAGAAACCTTAGTGTGTAATATGGTGTCAGTGTTTCCATGGAAATCTCCTCTAGATTTCATGAATCTGTTAACAAATATGCCTCCCTTCCCTCCTACAAAGCAAATAATTTTACAGCTGTAGGAAAATAGGACAGATGCTTTTTTGCTGCTGGCATTAAAGGAACATCAGAGCCAATGGATGGTGTGATTGCTTTGTCTCAGGAGACCCTGGTTTAAAATGCAGTCACGGGTTTGTTGGGGGCCTCTGGAAAATCATTAGGTCTCAACATCATTTTCCTATCCATGAAACTGGGGAAAAAAACAAAATAAAGAACCACAACTCTACTTTATAGAACTGTTGTGGCTGCAATCTTAAACATATCAGAAAGGAATCCCTAGACAAGATAGTGACACTTTCTTCTATATAGAAGGTTGTACCCCTTAAAGTGGGTGGGACTTCAGCCAAATGTTCAGTCTCCTCTAAGTCATTTATCATCTGTTGCCCTCATCTGTCCTCTTTGACTTGGTTTGATCATGACATGCATTATCAGCCATGGTTCACTGTCATGTTGCTCCAACCAGTGCAGTTTCTGCACAACAGCTTATTTTCTGCATGAACAAGCCACCCTTATTTGGAGTAGATTAGGGCAGCTGTGCAGCCCAAACCCAGCAAAGCAGTTTCATTGTGAGTTGACAGCAAAAGCTGAAAATATGCTGAGCCAGAGTACCAAAACCCCTTACTACTCCGTGCGGATTTGCTTCTGCTACCGCTGTCGTCCATCACCACTGCTATCCACTGTCTGCCCCCACTGATATCCAAAGAGCACTTTGGAGGCACTGCCCGTTTTATGCCACTTTGTTTTTTCCCCAGTGCTTTGGAAGTGTGCAAATGGTTGGCTGTGTGTTTTAATTTTCCTGTTCTTGCACAAGTGCACTTGAGCAAAGAGTAGACTTGCCTTATCTACTTCTTTGAGCACCAAAAGTTGTCTGTGTGGGATAACTTTCTGCCGCTTTCCAATGTAATTCTTCAGTTATTAAATGCATAAGTGACATTTGTCACTGCTCTCTACCCTTTCAGCACTGAGTCTCCAGCAACTCCAGTCAGTGCTAATTGGCTCCTCCCTCCCTTTTTGTGGCTCCTTTTCAGAGCAGTTGTTGCTGTGGTTACTGCACATCTAAGGGTTCCAAAGAATGTGTTTGGATGTATCTATCAGAAAGTTAAGGAGGGAAAATAACATATGCATTATGCACACAAGTATGTAAAACCCTGTGCATGTAGGCAGTGATCCTTTTTCCAGAGAGTTGCCACAGGACAGGCTTGTCTGGGCAAGTAACTATGTAGATGTCCCATTCCCATGTGACTTGGTACTGCTAGGGACAAGCCATAAAGGCTGCTCACATATCTAACTCATGGGTTCAAAGTGGCCTTTCCAGAAGCATCCAAACTGGGACACAGTTTCTCTCTGTGATCATGTAGTCATCCAAGGCATGCTGGGTGCACACGCTGCCACATGATTATAAAGGACTGGTTTGCTGAATATATTGTGAGCAAACCTTTGGTTCATTTCTAGTCTTTATTCTTATCATCACTGGTATCTCATACAATATAGCAGTCAAGACCAGACCTTTTCTTGTTTCAAGAAGCACAGTGTAGACAGCAAAGCTGTCAGCCTTTCAAAGTGGTATTTTTCTTCTCTTTTGAAGTAAGAGTGAGGTTTTTGGAACTAGGTGTGCCTTGGCAGCTAGAAAGGAAAGGTATGAAAAATATTGCTGAGATCTCTTTTATTTTCATCAACTGCATGAACAGCTTATACTTCTATTAATTTTATACTATTGCTTAATGTAATTGTTTTGAATTTAAACTATGTAAGCCTCCTGGAGGGTGGATTTTACCAAGGATAGGGAGGATATATTTTTTTCTAAAGCAGGGTGTTGAACCTCAGGCCCATGAGCCAAATCTAAGCCACCTGTGGTCCCAATCTGGTAGTCCTAGTTTCCCTAGAAGACACCATCTTGGTTCCAGCCTAATTTCCACAGACTATTTAATAGCTTCCTAGTTTTTTCACATTTCCCTCAATGTAACAGGGTGAAATGTCTCTCCTAAGGCTTAATTATTGGCATTAAGATGCTAAAATTTACTGGTGCTTTTTTAGCAATTTGGGACTTTGGCCTTTGCCTTTATCCCCATCCATCACTGCAGTGTATCTTGAGAAAGCTTATCTGAAACTGAACTTGGCAAACTGTTTCAAACATTAACATATTTTACAAAACACAAAATTCAGCTTTCTAATTTTTTAACCTTTGAATTTTACCACCCTGAATAGAAAGGGCAATGTGTTTTCTCCTTAAAAATTTGCCAGTTTGGTCACTAGAATCAGAACATTCTATCCAAATACTTATTAGGGCAGCCTGTTCACAAGTAACAGACGGGGGTGTAGGAAAAAAGGAAGCCAATGAACTTCTAAGTTTTTAAATGGTTACGATGCCAAAATTCAAACAATGATTACTGTAACCTCATGGGAGCTGGTGGGCAACCTTCAGTGATCATTGTTGGACTCACAGACTTCTGGTGGATTCTCAAGAGAACCCTTTTAGTACAGCGATCCACTGTGGCAGCCCACTTCCTCTTCGCTGCCTCCTCCTCCTCCAGCAGACATCGCCTCAAATCCTGTTCTTCAGACTTGCTCAGGGTCCTGTCAGTAACAGGCCGCACCAGATGTGACAAGTTGAGGTGACTGTATAGACTTCTCTCCACCACATATGTGATATTGAACTCACTGACCGAGCTGCGCCCGCGAAGCCTTCTGTTTGGGAAGCCACAGCTTCCGCCTCCTCCTCCCCCCTTGGCTTTGTGACGAAGGAGCTGTAGGTCACAGATGGAAGGAGACACAACTTTCCTAGTTGGACGCTGGCAGAGAAAAGCTCTAGAACATGAGTAGTTAGAATCTGTCTTTTTCAGTCGGATCTGCTTCCTGATACTCTGAATTTCTTCCAAGGATACAAGAACATGGTGCTTTCGCCTGTTGTCATAAATGCAAATGCTTTCTTTACTTACCCCGTGGCTCAAAGAGCCAAGATTCTTCTTCATCTCTCCATCAGTCAAGGAGCGGCAAACTTTTGGAGTTTTCTCCTCTTCTGGGTAGGAAAAGAATGTCCCAAGCTTCTTTGGGGGTTTAATAAGGCCACGGCTATCAGATTTACTGAAGGTCTTGAGCAATTTCCTGTTAGTACCCCAAGTATCTAAGCTGCTGGATGAAGGAGATGTGGTCAGTGAATCAGAGTCATCATCAGGTTGTTTCTCAGAAGAGTTATCCAAGTAGAGTTGCTTCTTGTGAACTCCAGAATAAAGTGCCAATCTGTCATCTGGTACTGGAGAACTCTCACAGGAATGCTCATCCACAGCTAAAAGGGAACATATAACTCCATTAGATTTCACTTACTCAAATGTAAGTGAACAAAGCAATAGCAGGGCATTCTTAAAGGAAGACATTTTCATCTTCTGCAACCAAAGAAATATGGTAGCATCCCCATCTCTGAAGAATAGAACCATCTGGGCATAAGCTAGCAATGATACTGATGTAAGGAAAAACACTGCTGGGATACTGGGGTGTGTGTTTATATTTAACTTTTCTATACTGGCCCATACTTAAAAGTCTTGGGACAGTTTACAGCAGATTAGTCAAAAACAAAACAAAACAAAAGCAAGAATAACAACAATTGCCTAGCATCCAATGATTAAAATGGAATCCTCCTCTAAAACAAATTAACGATTAAAATACTGGGAGATTAAACGATTTTTGCCTGACACCATAAGATAGAAGCATTAGTACCAGGCGAACCTCTCTAGTGAGCTTATTCCACAATCGGGGCGTCACTGCAGAGAAGGCCCTCCTCCGGGCAGTCACCCTCTTGATCTCTTTCAAGGATGGCTCCCAGAGGAGGGCCTCTGACTCAGATCACAATAGCATTCATTCATTTTTGTAGCTTAACAAATCTCCACTAGTTGAATATTTAGGAAAGAGAAAATAGACTTTTCATAGTGAAGTAATTCTTCACCATTATTATAAGAACAGTATAAAAGTGTAGTGAAAACCAAATAAGATATTACAATCTCATTAAATATGCAAGAGTAAATGAAGCTATCTAGTTCTGTGAGTCAGAATGATCATTCTCTAGAAACAGTGGAAGAAAGCCATCATGGAGAGTACCGGTTGTAGAAAACCAAGGTTATGAATAAAAGGTGAAGCCACTGGGCACATTTGGCCTAGAGGATATGATGACCATTTTCAAATATTTAAAGGAATGTCAGAAAGATACAATAAGTATTCTCTTTTTGCAATAAGAGGAGTTCATTTTAAAAATGGACTATGTGTACATCCTTTTCTTAGCAGGTATGTGTGTTCTCCAACAACTGTTACCCAGGCCAAATAATTTTAAATTAATTTAAATTGTAGGAATGCACAATGAATTCAAGCACTGAAAGAAAACTTTCCAGTTGTAAGAGATAGGGAAACATACCATATTGGTACTCATACAAATTCTGAACCCTGTAGAAGACATTCAGGAAAGGCACTCTTGGGAATGCCTGACATACTAGATATGCTGTTCTATATAAGAAGGGTATAAATGGTATAAACAGGGAATCCACTAGGCCTTTTGTAAATCTATGATTATACACTGGAGTTATACACAATGTTCTTTATATATACTAGCTGTCAGACTGAAGGCAATGAAAATCACATATGAAAAGAACTATTAAAGTTAAAATCAAACCTACACCGGCCTACATTTAGAAACACGAAAGTTTGGATAGGAAAGGAAACTGCATACCACATTAGAAGATGTTTATCAGTTTTGACAGAGAAGAGCAAGAAATAGCAGGGATGGAATTAAATGAACACACATAATTTTAACTTTGTATGTCCAAGATATATGATTAAAATCAGATTTTTCGGCAATATAGTCAATAAGCATTCTGCAATGTACTGAGCTGATTTTCCTCAATAAAATCTTGGAAACTGTGCATTATGTTTCATTATCTACTACAGAAACTTCAACACTGTACTAAAAAGTTGTAATACGTGAGATTATAACATGTCAATTAAAAAAGGGGAAATACCTATATCCCCTTCTCGTAATGCAATTAGCCAGATCACTCTTACAGCACAGTTTTATGCGTGTTTATTCAGAAATAATTTCTACTTATAGTTTTATTCCAATTGAGATTTTCTACATCATGCCCAAATCAACTAAAATTAAAAAATACACCAATGGAATGCACTTATTTCTGAACACTTCTATATTATTTTACATTTAACATAATAATAATAATACACAAAATAAATAATTTATAAAAACTAGCAGATAAATAAAGCATTGCCTTTCATTGTTTTAATGTTTTATGCTGTTTTAAATTAGAATTTAATTTGTGTTCATTATTTTTCTCTAATGTATTTAATTGTTCTTACGCCTTGTTGCAAACCACCCACAAAGCTTTGGCTATGGGCGGTACAGAAATGTGATGATGGTGATGGTGGTGATAATGATTGAGCAACTCAGGCTGAATTACAGGCCAAAGCTGGTCTGAACAGTAAAAATAATTATAAAAATTTATCCATCTACATAATGTCATCAGAGGGTTGGTGAGGCAGACCTCCCCTAGAAGTGAGTCCCAGGCACAGCCCCTGATAAGGCTCTTTCTCAAATTCTCATATTAACACTGGATACTGATGGGGCCTCTCTGAGTTTAAGACTTGGACAGGACTATACAGTAGTAGATGGCAACCTAGTTCCAAGCTGTCTAGGGTGTCAGTGTCAACGTTATCACTTTTATTTGTGATCAGAAGCAAACCAGTAGCCAGGGGACTAGGAATCAAATAATTCCTATAATTGGCTCCAATCAGAAGTATTACTACAGCACTCTGAACCATATCTAGTTTAGTTTTGTTTAGCCTAGTCTTTCAAAGCAGCTCCTTTGCAACAATTCAAACAAGATGTAACTACAAGGGTGGGCAACACATCACTCACGCAACATATGCTCCTGCTTCTAGTGTGCCACAGTGAATTTAGCAGTGGCTTACACAAATTTTAAATAACACCAGAAAGATGGGTTTAATGCTACAAAGTGCTAAAAAGGTCACATTTATCTCCAGACCAAGCTAAATTTGTCCTTTTTTAACCATCAAAGACACTTGCTGCTAAAACTTCAGATTCTGTGATATGCTGGGAACTGTAGCCTAGCCTGCAAAGGGTGGCCCATGAGTCTGGAGCTGCCCCTGTACCTAATGAAGTTTATCACTCCTGAACTAAAGCATGTGCCACCACAGCCAGAGCTGACACATTGAGGAAGAAGCATAGTGACTAGGTTCAGATAGCATGACAGCCCACACTGGAATTCGGCCACAGTGCATTGCCAGGATATCCAAACCAAGCACATTCTCAACAGGATGGCTTAATTTTTGAGGACATGCCACACTGAGAACCTGAGATTGCTGGAACTAGCCACAGAACTGCTTGGCAAGAGCAGCAAGCCCCATGCTACTTACCAGTGCCACCTCTCTCACCAGTGACTGATCCCCCAAATGGCATTCTGGAAGGACTATTATCATGCATTCACCATCTTAAACAAAAATAGTCCTTTGGAAGTACACAAATTTGTTCATAGTCTTTTTCATAAGTCTACAAAAGCATACTTTTGACTTTCCAATATGCATAGTCTTTTTCGGTCAATGTCCTTGCATATTGCAGCTATCAAAGGAGGAACTAAAATGGAGTAACTAACCTACAAGGAAACAGACAAGCTGAGGTTACAAGCTGAGGACCGTGGCCAGGATGAGGAGACAAGACCGATCTTGTTGCAAAAAGTGTCTAGGATATCTAATGCAGCTGACTAAAGGTGAAGAAGAGGGAGCACAAGCCATGACACTCCCTCTTGGGGATACTGTGGCTTGCTCAGCAAATATCATAACTTATTTTATATATTTTATTTAAAACATTTGTATGCCGTCCTTTACGACAATTTTTTTAGGACGGCTTACAGTGAATAGGATAGTTTCGGATGACATTCAGTACATACACCAGCATCAGATATGGAATACACTGTTGGTTACAGCTAAACCCTGGACATCCAGACCTTGAGTATGTTCCAGGATCCAACCCTACCTATGCACCTGGGTCCCAAGGAGAGTATAGTTCCTTCCAAGACAGGCTATACTCGCATTAGCAGTCTTTTGCTTCTTCTTTGAATTTTGTGATGTTTCAATTGCCTTATAAAACTGAAATGCAATAGAACCACTCCAGTTTTACGATGATCATTATTAGCTTAATTCTTAATTGTAAGAACAGACTATAGTTTGTTGCTATGAAAATGGTTCACCAGTGGTGAACCTTGGGCTCAGGACTGTAGGAAACAGTTTGGTTGTAAACTAGGATCTCAAATGAGAATGTGACTAGTTTCAATTGGCTTTGGATTTTAGATTGAAATTTTGAGTGCAAACTCTTTCCCACAAAGTACAGTTGACCACATTCAGATAAAACAAAGTAGAGACTTCGCCACACAGTGGAAAGAGAAAATTCTAATCTCTTCCCTTCCTGCATGAGGGAAGGGTAAACAAGATCTACTGCTGTTCATTCTTGGAACAAACTATAGTTTGTTATTAAATTTAAACTGAGCCTTGGAGTATTATGTAGATGTGAAGCCAGATGCATCATGTCTGTGTAGTTTGTGCTCAAAGCTCTGCAGATGTACACTTGGATGTCATTTGGGACATCATACATCAAACAGGAAAATACAAAGAAATTACATCTGCGTTACAATGTTCTTCATTTCCTAGCCTGAGTGTAAAACCTATTCATACCATTCAGCCATAGCATCAAGACGTATGATTCAGTATTTTAATATTTTTAAAAGACTTTTAAAAAACCCTTATTTGGCTAAAAATTACTTTGAAGGGTTAAAATCACTGTCTGCCATGGAAGAAATTGTGGCATTTTCCCACTTCAACCCAAGTGCACCACATGCATTTTCTGACCGACTCATTGTTCCCTGGTGAAAGAATAATTTGCAGAGCTTGAAGGGAGTGGTTCTAGTCAGGCAGATGTTTCAGGATCCCCTGAGAAACCTACTGGCCTTTTAACCCTATGGGCTAAGCCCCACTTGCATTTTATCTTGCTTTTCATTCCCTTAAGCAGTACAGCTCATTTAAGAGACTCCGTCTATAGATCCAGCACTTGCAGAAAAGAAGCATGAATGAAATAAAGTGGCAGCAACTTCTATGTTTTACAGAAAATGCTGGGGGTTTACCAGAAAGAATGATGCCATTTTCTGTTTCTGCCAATACTTACCACAAATCCCCCAAGCCTGTAGTCAGCACCATGTTTCAGCATGGAGAAATCTACCCAGCCCTTGAAAAATAAGATCGCCATGGTGATGTTGGCATGCTCAGATTGAGCATGTACTTCTAATACCTTCTTCCAGAAAATGTTCACAACATGCAGCAAACTGTAATGCAGTACTGCTACTTTGCTGCTAAAATGACCACTATTATACAGAATTAAGTGTGCTAACAAATTTACTGTTCAAGGTCAAATGCCAGACTGACCTTTCTACCTTGCAAAACAGCAAAACAGACTATCTTTGAACCCAAAGCACTGCAGATGGAATTCTGCTTGTGAAATGCAGTTTTTTCTCTTCTGTTGAAGCCCCCTGCACATCTAGATAAACCACTTCAAAGTTGGAGGATCTTTAATTGTGGGGGCTGGGAGGGTACAGCTGGCAGGAGAGGAAAATCAGTGACGTCAATTATTATTCATTCATTCATTCATTCATTCATTTTGATCATTCATTCATTCAAATATTTTATATGCTGCCTTTTCACTTTAGAAATGCTATAAATTACAAAAAGAAGTCCATGTTAAAAGGAAAAAAAGTTACCCAACTTCAATAAGGAAAAGATAAAAAGCCAACACCAGTAACAGATATAGCAATAAAAAAGAAACAACAAACTAGAAACACAGCAGTAAGAGGGTAGGTCTCTTGTGTAAATACACAATCCATATTACTCCTTAGATGCTGGTGTTTAATTTTACCATGGCAGATAAAAATCACATAGGATGGCAAATAGTCACAGTCATTCCTATCACCTCTGTCCAGAACTTCCACTGGTTTTTCCCCTGAACATGCACATTTTTTCATACAGAGAAATCTAACACCTCCATCCTATGATTCGTGGCATTCACTTTTTTTTTTTTGCAGCATTGCTAATTTTTACCTTCCGTGCTGGACTTTTTAATTTCTTCCACTCTGATTAATTTCTTTCTCACTCTGCGAGTTGAGTTGACCAGTTTATGCAATCTCTTAAATTTCACCGATTCTTCAGATTCATCATCTGACTGCTCTCTTGACTGGCAAAGAAACAAAAGGAAATGTTAATAAAGGAATTATTCTACAGCTCAGTCACTTTCTGAAGTCAAGAGGATTGAGCCCCAGGCTTCCTGTGCTCTGTGACAAGGAAAACCACGTAACTTAAAACTGTTACTCATTCTCCTCTCTCTCTCTCTCTCTCTCTCACACACACGCACGCACGCACGAAGAGACATAACTGCTGCAAAAGCAACTACTTTAAAAAGAATATAACATACCATTTTAACTTCTAAATTAGTACAAGGTCAAGTCCCAGGTACCAGAACTGTTCCAGCCCTCATCTTCCTTTCCACGCATTGTGTAATCATAGCTATTTCCACGTTGTCTTTGAGCACATTTTAGGCAAGATTCTTTCCTGAGACTCTTTTAGCCATGCTAGTTAAAGCTCCTGTGGTTTGGGTCAAGCATTGGTCTTGTCTACCCCGGCGGAACTTGACATTTAAAAATCTAGTTATAAACAGCTTCTCCAAACTGATCTGAAACTCTGTCATTGACTACTTCTTTCCAGCCTTACAAAGTAAATCAAAAACAGCAGCAGCAGCAAAACTGGTGGGAGGAGGGAGAAGGGAAGGGGAGGAAAAGGAACAAGAAAATCTCATCCACTCTGACTTATTTTATTATCTACAAATAGCTACAAAAATATCTTCTTCCCTGTCTCACAGCTTCTCATTTAGAAGATTCTCAAGACTGACTATTAATATGGACAGAGCATTCCTCCAGAACTGACCAAAGGAAAACTTTGACCTTTACAGGCATCCAGTATAGCCCATATTCCCCAACAGCCCATTTTTGTTCCATATCTGATGCAGTATGCTGAGTTCCAGCTGTTTTCCCTCAAGTATCAAACATTACAGAGACAAAAAAAATCCACCCTCTCCAGCAGCAGTGACACCACAAGCTGAAACAATTCATTCCTTGTGAACCAAATCAGAGTTCCCATTTTCAAGCCAGATCCAATGCTCAATATGTTACTTCCTCTGTTTTACCATGTTTAGAATCTGTGTGTGAGAGAGTAGAAAGCGGGGAGGGGGAGGAAGAAAGAGCGGGGCTCACTTTGCTTTTACAGTACAGAACTGCCACTGTACACAAAGCATTCCAAGGCACAGGGAAGAGTCCAGCTGGAAGTCTGAGAAAACTGTTTCCTTCACTTTGCCTCCATCTACAGCCCCAACCAATTCGTCATATTCCTAACATTCAGCTTAGCAATTTCAAGAGCAACTTCCTGTCAATGAACGGCAGGTCATTTGAGTCTCCATACTGGAATGTACCATTCTTTTCTGGCCATGTGTTAAGTGTGACAAAATAGGCTTCATTTAACAATGCCACCCACAAAACACAGACATGTCAAGCTAGCTATGTGGGCTAAGACAAGAGCAATAATGAGCACTCAGAGCATCCTCTGTCTGATTTGTCTATAGTGCTGACTACATTTTAAAAGCAAACAGCCAAGTTGTAGAACAAATTATATGTACCTGTAGAAATATTCCACTTAAATTCTGACTGTCTGTTTAAAGCATTTTTATTCCACACAGCCAAAACTGGCTTCTGGAGTGAAACAGTTCCTTAGCAGCTTAAAGCAATCTAAAAGAGTCCTACAATCTAAAAAGAAAAAGGGGATCAGAACAAGAGAGAGAAAATATTAAGTCAGCACTTAATAGGACTGCTTCATAGAATGGAACTACGAAGTTAAATTCCAAGCACTAATTCAAGGAATGGTTGGACTAAAGGCCAGGATTACATCCATTATATGGAGGTCTCTTTAACTTGCGCTTTGCGTCAGCCATCCTTGTGGTTACTCACCATGCAGATCAGATGACAACCTCTAAACCATAACTAATGATAAAAAATAAAGTGTAGTGGAGAAAACTTTATGATCCATAGAGAGAAAAAGTAGCACATGAAAGACTTGCAAGTTAAAGCAATCTCTACATATTTACCATCTCTTAAGCAAAAATACTGGCTAACATGGTGGTGGAATGAGTGTGTGAATGTGTACAAGGCCTCTTCTGCAATGGATTTAGGCCATGTAAAGAGGCCCATATAGGACTAGACATTATTTGTGTTTTTGCGAGGCGAATGTAATTTGGCTTGTGATCCCAAAGGTCATGTGAATTTGGGTCTGGGTGCAATTATCTATATCACACATTGGACTACATTAAGGGACACCTACTAATTTTATGTTAATTTGTGTGCTAATTAGGTAGACGTTCATGTTTATGTGATGCACAGCCAGATATCTACTTGCATTCATCATTTGCTTCATAGTTAAGTAAATGAGTCTTGTTCAACAAAGTGTTATAACTAATAACAGCTTGATCATCTACTTCTAAAATTAGCCTACTTGTTTGCAATTTGTATTCTGCTTTTGAGTCACTTTACACACTTAGTGAAGTACTATCTATGCACAGTGAAGGAGCAAGAGTTGACCCTTTCCTCAGTCCTTTATGCATTTGAGTTAAAGTTATGGCACTTGAATAACCCACATCAATTTCACTTCTCCCACCATTCCCATGAGCATTATTTTGGGGTGCTTCCAACAAAAATGAACACGCATGCACCATGTAGCTCCAGCTGGAGGTTGCCTGAAAATGCAGACTCTACCCAAACATTACCCACAACAACAGCTACTGTACTTCTCTTTCAGAAAGAACATACATAAGAACTTTGAAACAAAGAACAGGTGCCCAAGTCTTGTTTCCCTTCTCCTTCCTGATTGCTTTTTTCTTTTAAGTTGAGTTGGTAATCTTCCTCATTATTAATCTTTCTAAGCTGCTCTGAGATTTTTTTTGGGGGGATGGGGATGGGGCTAAAGAGCAGGGTTAAGTGCCGTAGCAAACTCCCCCATCTCCCAAAGAAAACCATTCAGAAATAAGCTTCCAATTTCTGGTTTTGTGGAACTTGAACCTAGATAAGGAGCTTTAACTTTGGTCTTAAACCATTGGTTTTAAAATCATTTAATTTCCATAGTTTTTTAAAAGGAAATTTATTATGCTATGAATACTTAAAGTAAAAATTATGTGCTGTATGAATAAGTACTTCTTTTTATGTATCCCATTTCTCCCACCAATCAGCTTCAGGGAATGAAGGATTAATATTAATATTTCTAGTATTCTGGGAGAGAGAGAGAGAAATATCTCTCTTTTCCACTTTCTTTACATCATGTATAATTCTGAATAGCTCTATCATGTCTCTCTTAACTCCTCTTTTTTCCATTTAACCAATCCAACTTGTTGTAACATTTCCCCACAAGAAAGTTGCTCCAATTCCTTAACCATTTTAGTAGCCCTTTCTGCATGTTTCCACTCTAGCTTATTCTTTTTTTTTAAGTGTAGCGATGAGAATTCCACACATTCTTCTCAGTGCAGCCCCACCACAGATTTGTATAAGTGCAGTATGATTTTGCAGTTTATTTACAATTGTTTTCCAATTTTGTACAACATGGAATTTGCCTTTTTCACAGCAGCAACACACTGGATCAACATTTTCTTCAAGCTGTTTAGCACAACCCCAAGACACCTTTCTAGATTATACATCTCAGGTTTAGATCCCTTCAGTTTACACTTGAAGCTGACTTTTTTTGCCACATTGTTCATCACTTTACACCAGCTTACACTGAACTGTATTTGCCATTTTGATTCCCATTCTGACAGTTAGAAGAGATCATTTTCATAATTTTGGAGCTCCCTATAATTCCTTTTTTTGTTTTCACCATCGTAAATAATTAGTGTAGGCAACTCCAATTCACTGCTCAATCCAAATTCTAGGTCATTTACATTGGTTCCAAAGAGATCCCTGTGGGACCCCACTGCTTATATCCCTCAATTGAAATAATTTACTATTTATTCCTACAGTCTGCATTCTGTTCTTTAATGACTTACTGATGTGTAAGAGGACCTCCTTCATGGATCACTGCCTTGTCATGGCGAAGGGGCTTGCGTAGCTCAATGAAGCTATGAGCTATGCCGTGCAGGGTGATGCACTGGAGAAGGAAATGGCAACCCACTCCAGTATCTTTGCCATGAAAACCCCATGGACAGTAACAAAAGGCAAAAAGATATGACGCTGGAAGATGAGCCCCTCAGGTCAGAAGGTGTCCAATATGCTACTGGGGAAGAGCAGAGGGCTAGTACTAGAAGCGCCAGAAAGAATGAAGCGACTGGGTCAAAGCTGAAAGGACACTCAGTTGCTGATGTATCTCGTAGTGAAAGAGTCCGATGCTGCAAAGATCTATACTCTATAGGAACCTGGAACGTAAGATCCATGAATCAAGGCAAGCTGGATGTGGTCAAACAAGAAATGACAAGACTGAACATCGACATCTTAGGAATCAGGGAACTAAAATGGACAGGAATGGGTGAATTTAATTCAGGTGACCATCAGGTATACTAGTGCGGGCAACAATCCCTCAGAAGAAATAGAGTAGCCTTCATAGTCAATAAAAGAGTAGGAAAAGCAGTACTGGGATACAGTCTCCAAAATTACAGAATGATCTTAGTTCGAATCCAAGGCAAACCATTCAACATCACAATAGTCTAAGTCTATGCCCCAACCACTGGTGCTGAAGAGGCTGAAGTTGACCAGTTCTATGAAGGCCTACAACACCTTCTAGAATTAACTCCAAAAAATGATGTCCTTATCATCATGGGGGACTGGAATGCTAAAGTAGGAAGCCAAAAGATAACCAGAATAACAGGACAGTTTGGCCTTGGAGTATGAAATGAGGTAGGGCACAGGCTGGTAGAATTTTGTCAAGAGAATACGATGGTCATAGCAAACACTCTTTTCCAACAACCCAAGAGACGACTCTACACGTGGACATCACCAGACGATCAACACAGAAATCAGATTGACTATGTGCTCTGCAGCCAAAGATGGAGAAGCTCAATGCAGTCAGTAAAACCTAGACCAGGAGCTGACTGTGGTTCAGATCATGAGCTTCTTGTTGCAAAGTTTAGGCTTAAATTGAAGAAAGTAGGGAAAA